AGCGGCACCTACTGCGATGTCATCTCCGGCGCCAAGAGCGGCTCCTCCTGCACCGGGAAGAGCGTCTCCGTGGGATCCGACGGTCGGGCCAGTGTCTACATCGGCAGCTCCGAGGACGACGGAGTGCTGGCCATCCACGTCAACTCAAGGTTGTAAACAACTTGAGATTGCCCCGCCACTCAGTTGAGATTATTAATTTTACAAAATATATACGATGCGATTATTAACACTCGATTCTTTTAAACGCGTGGGATGATAAGAAGCTTCTATAAAGGCATTCTTGGGACAATGAGTTTTACAATTTGTAGTAGCTCGCGGGAGAGTACCACTTTATTTAATTAAAAACTGTTAGGTACTTTAAGACAACTGCGGTGAAGAGGCCATCCACATGTTGAAGATCTTCTCTATAATATTATTGCATATTAAAATACATAACAATTCTTTTGTAATTAATACATATTTTCCTGTATTAAAATACTTACAAAAAGGCGTTACATATTCTGACCACTAACTAAGGCTCCCCTTAAGTTAAAAGTCCAATAAATTTCCAGTCCTATCTGAACAAAAGGTTTCAAGTTGAAGTCTCTTAAGCATTCATGACGTATTTAAAAGGCAGATGGATTTCAACAGGTTCCGTGTAAATGTGAATATTGATTGTTGACTTTGGCTGTACATAAATCACACCGAACCCCCTTGTTCTGCACCCCTTCTACGGATCCTTGGAAGGACCTGCGAACTCGTAGGCTGGTGGTGCAAATTGAAGCTGTCCGGGATGCGATGTTCATGTTCATGTTCCCGGAGAAAGGCCAAGGCACGCACCAAGTTAAGTCCGTATCCCCACACCCCTCGGCAGATTCTATTAAAATTGCCTGTCATTGCCGTTGCCGGCATCGTTATTGTCCGTTCCTTGGATCCTGGAGAATGGAGGATGAGGGCTTCCTGTTCCAGTTCCTCCTCCAGGACCTCTTTTTTCGGAATGGCAGACATGCTTAGTCCCTTGGATGGCGACGTTGTCTTCTGGCAGGACCATTATTCTTCAACAACGTGCATTATATTATCCTTTGGCTGAAGGCATTTGTATGCTGGTCCCGGGCGCGAATTGCATTTGGGATCGGGTGGTTTCGGTTGGCTCCCCTCTGATTTCTGGGTGGATTCCGGTGGAACTGGCCTTTCAGCTGTCGTCAGTGCAATTTGTATTGCCATTGCCGCCCGTCGTCGTCGGCGTCTGTAACTTGTTTTTTATTGGTTTTCTCGTTTTAAATTTCAATTTGGCGTCCTGTAAGCAAGATGTATGTACAAGGCCGGAGCGGCTACTCCTCCCTATCCCCACCCCAATCCCGTCCAGAAACGCTCTGCATTTCGAGAAGCACACATATGTTGACAGCGTCAGGTGCGCCAACGATGGGCGATTTATTTGCGTCAGTGCGCCCAGGTTGACATTTTCAAGGTGCTACTGCGACTTGTTGTCCTCCTGGCTGCTAACTGAACTGTCATTCAGACGGAGTTACCATTTCTCGTTTCAATTACACTCGGGAAAAAATGCTCCTCAAATGAAATTACTTTTCGCACTTTAAAATATTTGTTATATTAAGTCAGCAGCTTTCTATTCTCAGCCGCCACACGCACAGTGTGCAGGCTTCTGAATTTTGTAAGTTTTATAAGTGAACAACATTTTAAATCATTATTAAATTCAACCATTGCTTAACAGCTTCTTTTTCTTTGCCGCCACACGCACAGTATGCCAACACCCTTACAAATTACTCACTCAAATAAAAGGCAACCTAATATTGATAGGTAAAATATACTTTTGGAATATGATAATCCCCATAAGACTGTTTTTTCCAGTGCCAGGTTATTATGCCATTAGGGGTTAGGGGGCTAGCACATTTTACACCGCATTTAACCCAAAACATGCCACTTAACGGAGGGCATTTATCAATGGGGGAGTGGGTATTTCCCCAGCCATACGTGATTCGCCGCCCGCATTATCAGCCATCAGGAAGCAACCTCATCCTTGAACGTGCCAGCCTCCCACCTCCTTGGTTTTGGTCCACCCACCTCCTTGGTTTTGGTCCACCCACACACATGACGCTGCACTCTGTGCGATTATCGAGCGTTTCCGTTTCCGCCACTCCACTCGTTCTGTGGCCTTAGGCCATGCCCCGAAAATTACATGCCTTTGTTTTTTATCTAATGCCAGGCGGCATTATGCCTAACCCGGGGTCTTAAGGGCACTCCCCCTTTAACCCACACTCCCTGCCTTCTTTGCGGAACGTGTTCCAGGACTCTCCTCGGAATTCAGATGCGCAATTCGATCTTTTATCAGTTGTCATCGTCGGCAAATTCACACATTCGCATGGGCATTTGTCGCTCTGCTTGATTTGTGCCACCGTAACCGGAACAGTGGGGCAAATATCGCTTGATTGTGTAGAGCACTTGAAATACATCGAATATAATACAATTTGTTGTGGGTTTGCCCACCTAGTACTTTTTTCTTGTATCTGTGGGTAGAACTAAAGACTATTATAATAATTCTAACGAGATACCGTACAACTATCGGCTTTTTTTTTATGTAAAATGAATATCCAACATTATGCTTGGAACTATTATTATGTTTACCAAAAAATTGTTAAATTTAGTTGGGAATTAAAGTTCTATGGAGTCAAAACCCACTGTTTCCCAGCCGATTACTCCAACTCCAGAGCCCGAGAAGCACATTGTTTCACGTGCCATTTCGCAGCTGAAATTTCAACTTTTTCAAGCACCCGGAGCAAAGAACTAAACGAATTCGCAAATCCGGAGACGAGGCGGCAAATGTTGGACGGATGTGGAATGGATGAAGATGTGCCACTGGATGCGTGCCTAAGTGTTGTGTTGCATTTACATGGGATTGGGATTGGGAATGGGATGGCCATACGATTGTGGATGGTGGGTTGTGGGGGAGATAAAGGCTGGGATATCGTATATGTTCGGTGGATGGGGGGCAACAACTGGCGCTGAGGCGTGAATTGGATACGCAGAAATCGAATGGAGGCGAGAGTGATCCGTGTGTGGGGCATATTAAGCAAAAATTAGCAACAGTTGTGGCAGCCGAGTGTCCGTGGGCTGTGGTATATGTCAAGTTAATTTAATGTAGCATGAAAAGGGAGGAGCAGGGTGGTGGTGGCGCACTGAAATGTCTCCCAGGGACATCTGTGGCGCCCAAACATCATGTGTTGTCCGCCTACGTGCAATAATTTGTGCAATTACTTGGCAAATTTGTTCAACGTCCTCCTATTCCAGCGCCCGGCGACGTGTCCCGAAAAAATTCAAATAAATTATGCCCCTGGCATTCTACAATTCTATTGGCAAAATTCTTCTTTTTCCACACTTTTTTGCGTTCCAAATTATGCATTTAGTTTACAAAAAACATGTGGAGCGTGTAGAACAAAAACTACGTGAGGGGCATAGACAAAAATTAAGAAACGCTCGAAAGCCAATGGCCCAGAAATATTGAAAGAGGACAGCTGAGGGGAAAAATCCTTTGCTCGAGTGGGGAAAATTTTGTAATTTTTCAGCTCAGCGACGTTTTTGGCTCATAAAAATGTCAAATCGTTTACATACACGTCACTTTTGTGACAACTACTTGACAGACATTAATACACTTAAGCTGCCTGGTAAGAACACGGGCATTATCCTTTGGCTTCAGCCAGCTTCCTTGGAGCATCCACATCCACATCCACATGCACATCCTTTATCCCTTGAGCAAACGACAAGCGGATGCGATGGCGGCATGCCAACATAAATGACATAATATAATAAACCAACAGCGAGCAACGAACAAAATGAGCACATATATGGCGGCGATAGGAAAATGGGTACCGAAATTTGCTTAGACAGCAACTCACTTGGAGGAAAATGAAGGGAAACTTCCCCCCAGATGTCAAGGGAGCCGCGTTTTATTTTTTGTGCCCTTTTAACAAATTGCTTTTGTGCAAATTTTGTCACATCCCAAGCACAAACACCAATACAGCCCCTCCCACACCCAAGGACATGAAAATAGAGCCAGATGGGACCCCCTTTCCATATGCTTTTCAACTTCATTAGTGCATTCTTGGTTTATTTTCGTCGGCTCTTTGATGTTGCAACAAACTTGAAAGAGGGTTTTTCTTTGCATATATTTATGATTTTTTTGACCATCAGTTGACCGGATAATCAGGCCATGCAATGTGGGAAATCAGTTTTTGATTTGATATCAATCGAAGTCCTCCTTACAGTGGTTGGAAAGGAGTGGGAAATGTTTCAGTTCTGTAAGTATTCAAGATTATTTTTATGGGCTGTCTTTTGGGAGGATTTGCGGGAACGTATAGCCTACTTTTAGGATAAACTTATGACTATTAATGATGATGCTCGAGTACTCTCAATTTTTAATCGCATGTTTTTAAATAATTTAGGGTCCATTCTCGGCAATGAGTGGTTTTTTAACCGCAGCAGACTGAATAAATCATATTGTTGCTATCACATTATTGACTCTCCTTAATTAATCACACAGCTGAATGTATCATTAAGTTTCTCAAAATGTAAAATCGAATATATTTTCTCGCAATACATTTCCTTTCCGATTTAAAAACCAAGCCAACTACATTTTAACACAGTCCCAAAGCCATCAGCGTCTGAGCAGTTCATATTCACATGTTTATATCCTTGGCCATGGTTCATTAAATTCCCTTAGACCGTGACTTGGCTTCTTTTGGCTTCATCCTGCAGCGGCCGTCATAAATTCTAAATAAATAGATTTGTCATACATTTTTCGGTGGCCGCCACACACACAGTGCACTGTGCCCGTGCGCCTTGTGTGCTTGGCGAGGGAGATGAAGAGCTATTTACATTCTGCTGCAAGGACATGAAAAGGACAGGACTTGGCCACTGCAAAGGCAATTTATCATAAATATTTGTCAGGCGACTGCAGCAAGCTTATTTTACGCTCGGACAGGCAGCGAGGACAAGAAACGGAACAGGACTACGAAATAACTTAGCTTTATTCTTAGATATCTACGATCTAGAGTTGTGAGTGGGTGGGGAATATGGTTGGGGACATGGAGACATGGCTTATGTGCTGAGGTGGGACCATGATTTTTAGGCACTGGATTATGTGAAAAAACCTATTCTAAAAATTCCATTCCTAGCGAACTTCGGTTAGACTCGAAACTAAGTAATATTGTTTTGCACATAATCCGATGTCTGATGACTATCTACAAGTACTGCCATATCAGCCAGATGGCTATGACCACTCCGAGCACCAGGTCCATGGGCAAGCTGAAGGTGTTCCGCCTGGCGTGCACGTTTCGCGCGATCTCGATGATCTTGTGGGTGGCCTGGAGCCACTGCTTCACCACCGCCGCCTCCGTGGCCACGAAGGAGTACTCCTCCCGCTTGGAGCCACTGGATCCAGACCCCGATCCACCCTCCTGGTTCTTCACCAGCAGGTTGATGATCTTGTTGGCATTGGAGGAGGCCGAGTCCAGCGGCCTCTGGAGCTCCACGTGCTCCCAGTTGTAGTGCTGCCGGTAGGCCAGTCGCTTCTTTCGCACCTCCGTGCAGACGAGGCTCCGATCGAAGAGGAACACCTTGGAGCGGTACTTTTTCCGAGTGGGAAAGTGCTGGGCATCGAACTCCGTCGAACGTCGGAAGTTTCCCAGTTGCAGGAGGTCCAACTGGGGAAGGAAAAAAATAGGGTTTAGTTACCATTAAAAAAAGTTATCTATCCCCAAAAAATATATTCGACCTGCATTTTTAAAAATTTATCGTTGATTTTAAACTACTGATTGTTTTCTAACTACTAAGAAAAATGTTTTTCAAATAAACAATAAATAGGTCAGTAAATAAATTACCTCGTTGAGCTCCTCGATATTGGGTATCTCCTCGGCCTGATTGACCACATCCAGAGCACGTCTCATTCGCGTCTCCAATTTGCAAACCGCAGTTAGCACAGGCTTGCAACTAATTCCACTCTTGTAGAATTCCTGAAAAAGTTAATATTATAACAAGAAATTCTCTACTTATAAGCCACGAACACCTTACCGATATGAATTGCTGAAGGAGCAAAGGATATCTGGTCAGTCTTTGGATGGGCTGAACTAGGAAGCTGTCGATGCCCAGCTTGTCTTTTATTGAGGTTTGATACGACTGAAAAGGTTTTATAATAACAGAATTACTATATTTATAAAAGGCTTCCAAGAGCATCTCACCTGCAACCACAATCGATGATCTTGTCGCAGTTGCATAGAGGATTTCTTGCCCATGGTGAAGCTCACATAGCAGTAAAAGTGATTTTTCTGAAAGAGAGAAGACAGAAAGATATTTAATATGCCGTCTTTGCCTTACTGAAATTCAGAAAACCTATGTGTCTGTCTGAGCCATGTGCTTCAGACTCACATTCGCCACATAGTTGATATAATATATACACTTTGCCATACAAACTCATGCGAGTTTGGCTGGTGGCGAAATCATAATTCCTTGAGCATTTAAGTCACGTAACTCCGGACTTGGCAAAGCCAGAGCGAAAATTTGAAATTCCCGTCGCTATCTGGAGCCAATGCCAATGCAAATGTTTTCCCAAACCGAAACTGGTGCAAACTGCAAAGAAAATTGCTTGTCTAACGATTTCCTTTCCATTTTAATTTCATTAGCCTCGCCTGGCTGCGGAATCAGAATCCGAGTTCTGCTGGAAGTTCTGCATTTAGATGATATGATAATCGCCTCTCTGCGGGACCAGCCATAATATTTCCCTTTCCATCCGGGGGCTCTGTATTTTGCATGTCTAATGCTATTTGGGTGGACAAATGACTGCCTTAAACAATTGTCGCCTCGTCGGCGGTCGCAGAGGTGACAATACGTATAAACATTTTTGCACATTGCACAGTTTTCTTTGGTGGGCGTGTATTTTATTAGCATTAAATTCCTATCTGCAGTGCATTCCGTCTAATTTAGTTATTTGTTCTGGGTGGGAAGAGGGGTATGCATATATTAGATGTGGGCTATTTATATAGTTTACACTCTTTCCTATAAATCACACCGAAATGTCAGCGGGGTAATGGGATAAGGTTTATTGATCTATATTTTATACCCATTGCTGGTATATACAAATTATAGACATCAAAGCGATGGGGAATACAAACAGTCAAATGCAATATATTAGTACTGCAGTAACACTTCTTAGAAAATTCGAAAGATTATATAAAATATCTATCTCCTTAGCTTAGCTCTTAGATACATTATTGTAGGTCGTGTAGAACATCTACAATAATATTACAATAAGAAACCATCTGAAAACTTGGAAAACATAACAACATAAAATGGCATTAGTTTTTCTATGAGAAACCGAGAAAACACAAGTTGGCGTTAGTTTTTGATGTATTATTATTATTCTTTTGAACACAGCTGTATAAATACGATTTATAGCCGTCATAGGCTTCCCCATCAATATCATCTTCGTTTGTTTATTTCGCAGCAAACATCTTCAACGATTCTGATCGCCAAATCGATTGCATCAATCTTAAATCCCCCTCCCCTCGAACCACTCAAATATCCATCCGAATGTGGTAAAACTTTTAATTGATTTTGCGAGTGTGGTTGTTTTGATTCGATTTGATGGTGAGAAGTCTGATCGACACGCTTGTCACTTGATGTTTTTGGCCATTTAAAGCCGATTAATAAATGAAGGCGACTCTATTTATTCTTCAGGCATTTGTCTGTTTTTCGAGACCAAAAACCAATTCAAAATCTCTAGTCTGACATTAATCATTAGTAGGCCTCTCCAGTCGCCAAATCTATTGATGTCAGAACTAATCGATCTGGCAATTGCTTGTGAAAAGCCTCATTAACTTGCAAACGACGACGAGTCTGAGAGGAAATTTACAAAATACTATATATTTATCAACAAATCTGTGCGCGTCTTTTGTTTATACAACATGCTGCCAAAACTGAGCAGGGAAAAGTAAAATTTTAGAAAATATGTATAAACAAATCGTAGCATTTTTATGATATATTTAGCCAAATATTCGCTTGTCTCAGGTCCTGTGAGTCAGAAATGTTTGTTTGCAAACGAGTGAATGCAAAGTGGTTGTGGGTAAAACGAAAAAAAGCAAAAAACATAAATCAGATCCCAGGGGCTTAGCATGTCTGTCGAACATTAAGATGCCAAATCCTCAGGGTGCTCAGCAAGAATGTTACCTGCTTTGAAAACAGTATTTCAGCTTGCTGTACTCCTTCCTTATGCTTAATTTATACTCGGGATTTCTCGGAACTTAAGAATGACATAAGAGAACTGAAGAACAGGCCTCAGACAATTTCAGTTCAATTTAAATTGATCATTTGCGTTGTCAACACTTAACTACAAATGGCCACATGGCCGCTCTCTAGCGGCCCAAAAAAATCATTCCGAAATGAGTACTTTAACGAGATGATTTGGGGATTTCTATAGATATACGGCAAGCCCCGAACAGCATTGTCGACTCTCCTCACGAGAACCGATGACGTCAGCTGCCGGCAATTGGAACCCCAGCCCAGGCATAAAAATACAAAACAAAATAAGTCTGTTTGCCCTAACAATTTCCAACTGATTTTCGTAACTGAGTGCGAGCTTTTTGCCTGTTTGCCGATTTTATTATTATGGCGTTCCGCTGATTACTTCAATCTTATCAGGGGACTTCACTAAGCCACCCCATTCGTCATTCTGCAGGGATCTGGGATAAGTATTTCATGGGAAAATCATTTAGTTTATTTGCTCACTGGAATATGAATGAACTTGGTGACACACTTGTTAAGAGGTGTGAGTAAATTATATTACAAAAAATTAAATAATACACACATTCAGCGATTGAAATTCTGACAGAGTTTGCATAACCCACTGGAAGCTTCATTTGCATTAAAACACGAGTCTCGGGCTTGAAGTTATAAAAATAAAAACCTCAACAAAGCAAAAGGTAATAAAGAAACAAGACGCCAATCGCAGGTGTCAAGTTAAAAAAGACTTATCAACTTTGCTATGTGTAAATATTTGAGGTTGAAATTAGGCACTTCAAGTGCTGGAGGAAGACAAAAGAATTTTGATAGATGAGGTGTCGGAACCCGTCCAACGGCTACTTGGCTAATGGAGTCAGCCCACGCGGGCCCCTCCTTATAAGTACACCCCTCCACTCACCTCGAAATGTGCGGCAAACTCATCGAATAGACCTTTGAGATCCCGCTGATTTCGCAGCATTAGCGGTAGTATTTCCTGCTCATGAAGTTCCAGAATCTCCTCTACATTTCCCAGTAGCGTTTTCTGCTTGGCTTCGCCACTTAGTCCTTCTGGAAGACCCTCTGCATCCTTTAGATTTCCGTAGTTCACCATTCCCTTCTTCAGGTTATTCACATAGTTGACCTCCGTTTGGATGAGCTCGTCGATTATAAAACTGATCTTCTTGGAGGCATAGATTTCAGTTTGATCGCAGGGGAACAGATTCTCCAGAGACAGGGTGTCCTCGTCCTCGTGGCTGAGGTAAATTGGGGTGATGGGTCAACAGTTAGTTACCGAATCAATTACCGATAAACTGCTAATACGGATGAGTAGGTATGACTTTTGTACTTACTACTCATCGCCCAGGGTCTCGAAGCTGAGCGTGTGCGAAGGGAAAGAGTGGAAGCCATTGTGTGTTCGGTGTGTTGGGGATGGGTTTGCTGCAGTTGTTGAACAGGTGTTGATGGAACCCAATGAGATGCCGCTGGAAACAGAACAGTAACGAAAAACACGAGAACACAAGCCGTGAATGAGGAACACTTGAAAATGTGGTGGGTGTATAACAGAGAAATATGAAAATACAACACGAAATATAAATCTTTTGGGATCTCTAATAATTGGTTATCAATCTCATGGAGTTTCAAGCGTATTCAGATTTTATTTTCTGTTTTGGTGGCGAAATACTTTGGTGGTACTTAAAAATAGAAAACGACTAGTAAATTCAAAGATAATGCTAATCGTCTGTATTGCATAAAGAAAACCGCAAATTTTAAGTGCAAGCCTAAGTACAATGTAAAGAACATAAACTTTATAGCAAAGGGGGACCCCATTTGGGACTTAGATAGTCCACTTCCTTTGTAAAACTTTTAAATACATGCAATCGCTAACAACTTCCTTCCTGCACTGAAATCCCCAACTATTTTGATAAAAATACTTTGCTTATCTGTAATCAGTCGTGCGAATTAACTTGGTAACGTGTTTATAATGTCTGTCATGAACTCAGCCACTCCCGACAGCAATTACCGTGAAAAGGCTTAAAAATAACCCGGGCGTATACGTTATCTTATCACGTATACGCACAGTGAGGGGTGTAAGGCAAGCCAAAGGTCGGACATTCAATAATGGACACTAAATTCGATGGAAAAACAGCAAGCATCTGTCAGATGGCGAGGCACGTTCAAACAAACATGGGTAAACAGAGGGTTAAGGGGCTTAGAGGGTTCAGCCCTACCTATCGTTGTCCAGCAGACTTATTTGCTTTTCCAACTTTCCGTTGGCCGATGTGGGGGATTTCGGCGGAGTGGTTGCAGTGGGTGAACTGGGGGTAAGGCTCTCTAGTATCGGGCATTCCTTCGCGAGGGCTTTGTCGACCACATCGATCGACTTGCCATTATCGACTTTGTCGTCGAGTATATGCAAATAAACGTTGAAAACTTGCACTAGGAAAATCACAAGACATGTCAGCGCCACCGAAATCACATCGAACCAATTTATGGTGAATATGGTTAGCTCCATAATGCTTTGTTTCGTTTTTTCACAGCTTTCTATAGACTCAACCACCGCCAAATTCGACGCATATCGATGGCAAAACCCCTACTTTATAAGGCCGACAATATATTCTCCGATAACGATCCACTGCGAATCAAACGCGAAACTCGACTGAGCAAAATCGCCACTGAGAGCATTTGCAAGGTCTGAAAAAGCTCGAAAGCTCCTCCGATCGTTCTCTTTTTATTCCGATTCTCTTCGATATATCAAAAGCTATATCTGACCACGCGCCCAATGTTTTGTTTGTAAACATCAAAAACCATTTGAAACTGTGAAAAACGATTCGAAGTCTGGCATTGGAATAGAATTCAACAAAGTCTGTAACACTTTTGCTTTCATCAGGCCAACAGTTCCACTTAATCGTTTATGATCTAATATTTGCATACCAATTAGGTGGCTTTTGGCTAATGGCCGGGCAATAACTGTTATTATGGAACCACTACCTATAATCATGGATTCGATTTTGCCTTGAACTTTTGGGGCAAACAAACTGGTTGGTTATGGTTTATCGGGCTTTTGGACCTCTCCCAATTGAGTTATAATTCAGAAACCGAATAGTTATTCGGCAGCATATCAAGTTTCCTTCCTTAACGTCTAATCGTATGGTTAATAAATTTTAAAGTGATGATCTCATGGAGATCACCGGAAAAGTGTCATTTGCATTTGTGAATTTCACCATTTAAATTGTTCACATTTTATTATTCTTTTTAATTGATTCTTTTTTAGACAATCACCCTCCCTCCACTAAAAATCAAAAGAATTCCCTGATGATGCTATAAAAACAATGAAAATTATAAATAAACATCGAGCATTTCTGAGGGCGATTGATGGGCTGCAAGCCGAATGATCAGCAGGCGAACAACAATAATTGCATATATTTATTTATATGCGCCATTTGTTTATTTTTATACATTTTCTTAGTGATGTCACAGGCGGCTGCAGTGCCAGTCAGAAACAAGTTGAAACGCTGTTTTCAGTATTGCGTGTCGTATCATTAACAATATCAAGAGTGATGAGGTGGAATGGATGGCTGGATGGTGGGTATGTGGGTGGGTGGTCGGGGATCTCGGGCAGGGGATCCCAAACAGCTGCCTCACGTCTGCTTCTCATGACAACGCCGATGGCGTGCGACCTTTTCATGATAGATTCATTTGTTTTGACGTCTGCGAAGCGTGTGATTCCGCTGGCGGAAGGTGGAAGGAAGTGTCTGATTTTCCGAAAATACTGTGCACAAATATTTCCTCAATGAATAACTGTGGGAATACAAAATAAAATCGGATTCATGTCATCTATTTTTTGATGACCTGCGGAATAAATCAAAAATTCCTACACACCTTAAACTATTTTACTTTCTTGAACATTTTTTTGCAATTTGTAATAGGTCTTCAAATTTGTAATATTTAAGTTTATTTAATTTTAGATGACCTAATTGAATAGACACTTTAAAAAATTGCCATTTGCAATACAGCTTTATATTTTCACTTTTGATAACCTTTAAAAATATTTTTTGTAGTTGATATTTTCAAAAATAGTTTATGACAAATCACAGTTCTTAAATATTTACTCAATTTATTTAAAACGTCTTTTTAGCCAATATTTACACAAAACAAAAAGCTTATAAAGCTAGGCACGGTAGTACATGCGATCAACGAATTCCAATTTGTGACAACAATTAAACAGGAATATATACAACTTAATTAGCCAACTATGCTTATAATTCAATATTTGGTTATTTAGCTTTAAAATCGAAAGAATTTTGCTTCCGATCTCCTTTTGCCACATACAATGAGCAGGAATTTTAAACAATTTCCAATATTGACTCTGCTCGGCTTAGTGGCCCTTCAAAATTGGCCGCCTTATACAGATCCAGATAGGATTGAAATAGGTTCATCCTTATTTATCTTTCCAGAACTGCCGATTTCCCATAACCGGACATGGATCCTTTCCATTTCTCACTTAGGAGGCCGCATACCAGGTGGTCCTATTGCTGATCGTCTCTTCGTCTGCCTTTGGCATTATCCAGATGTTACCGATTCCGCTATCTGAACTAAAGCGATTGGAATCGCGATAGAGCGAAAAACTGGGGGCCTTGCGATGCAGGTGATCATTCTCCCGGGAGTAGCGCTCCTGCAGCTTCTGGCGCTCCTCGTTCGCGAAGTTATTGATCATATCCCGGATTAAGTCCAACCAGGCGGAGATCTGCACCGGATCCGCGCTGAACTCACACTCCTGCTGCTTCCTGCGCTCGTAGTAAAGCGTGAAGGACTTGGTCTTGGCCGAGATCCCTATGTGCTCGCAGGGATAACGGCCGTGGAAGATCAGGTTCTTGCCCTTGATCTCCGTGTAGATGATGCATTTGTCGAATATAAAGACCTTGGCTCGGTAGCTGCGCTTTAGCTTGTGATCGAGCACCTGGAACTCGTTCACCTTGCGGAATTTGCCCTGGTAGTAGACATTGAACTGTGATGGGGATAGAGGAGTTTAGAAATCGGATGAGGTAAGCTCTATAAGTAACACCCACCTCATGACAGTCCACTATGTCATTGATGATCTCCGATTCGTTGGTGGTGGTCAGCAGGGATCGCAGGCGCTTCTCCAGTCGACAGCAGGACTCAATTAGGGGCTTCATTACTATATCACGGTTCTTGAAGAAGGTCTAGGGGTGTATTAAGCAGATAATTAGTTTACTGGATTGGTTTTCTCTCAAGATTTGACTCACATTGATGAACTGCGTCAGGAGCAAAGGATACCGAGCCATGCGCTGAATGGGCTGGACCAGGAAGCTATTTATACCCAACTTATCATCGCGTTCTAGGCGAATACTCTGGAAAATAAGAAAAATTTATTAATTTAATTAAATGCGGTTTTAAATATATTATTTAACAAAAAATACATTTATATCACAAACAGCTTAGCTACATAAATATTTCTGAACTTACAGTAAAGTAGTTTTTGTAGAGATCGCACAGTTTAAGGGACTTTTGCTTGTTCATTGTGAAGATAACATATCCATAGAAGCAGTTTTGCTAGGGAATAGAAATGTGAATCACTTAAAGACTACTTTTTCGTAGTTTATATAACTCACATCTAGGAACTGCAGGAACTCATCGAACAATCGCTTCAGATCGCGTCTATTGCGCTGCAGCATGGGCAGGAACTCATCCCGATGGAACTCGGCGATCTGCTCGATGTTGCCGAACAGATCGTACTTCTTGCCCCGAAGACCCAGGGGCAGATCCTTGCGCTGGAAGATGTTGCCGTAGTTCTCGATGCCCGTGAACAGGTTGTTCACGTAGGCCTCCTCCGTCTTGATCAGCTCCTCCAGAATGGGATGCACGCACTTGTCGCTCTTGTCCCGCAGCTCGATCTCAACCTCTTCCTCTCTGGAAATAAGATATTAGAGAAGTATTAGCAAAAGATGATCCCAAAATATATATACCTATTTGAAACTGAACTTGACCGAATCTTAATAGGTTTGTTTTGTCAGATTATAACCAAATCAATTTTCCTCTATCAACTATTAATACTCACTCATCTTTTGGCTGGTAGACCGAGTGAAACTTGCCCACCACATGCTCGTTGGTGGTCCCAATGATTTCAGTCTTTCGTCTCGGCGTAGAACGATAGTTTCTGGAGAGGAAGAGAGATTATTCAGCTCATTAAATAAAATACTTGTTATCTTAAGCTAAATGAAAATAGCACGCGAGACAATAGCAAAAACAAGTGCAGCAGTGATAACTATTTAGATAAACCCCCACGTCGGTTGAGTCAGCAAAAGGAGAAGGTCTGAAGATAAGACCAGTGGCAACCTTTAAGCAGCTAAAAACAAGACTAGATAATGTCAGCAGGGCGTACATGATTGCCGGTGGGGAGTGAGTCATATAGCACCCATACGTCGGGGATCTCATTCGGAAGATATCATTTCGGGAAATTCATTTCAGGAGTTCATTCCGGAAAATCGTCGGTTCGCTCGGTTTCCACTGGAAGGCTTTTCTTGTGTGGCTCGAAGATTTGCATGGACTCCTCGATGGATATGGCCACCCAGGTTACCACCTTTAGAATGAAATCCATTTGGGAGATGATAAACCAGGATATCATGATGAGGAGACCCATGGCCAAGGCGGTCACCACGAAGCCCGTTAGCTGGAGAAGGACTTGGCAAGTTGCATTTAGTCAGAAAAGATTGGAGAAAGAGGAGGAGGCACTCTCTACAGACCCCGGCCACGCAGCCTTCCACAGCCTGGATGTTGATCGAAGAGGCCGAAGGCCGCCAGTGAAAAGAAGTGCTTTCTTCTTGATGGGACTCGCTCTCCGGCTCCTTGTTAGCGCGCTTTCCCTCCCTCAGGACCTCAGCCGTATCATAGTCTATATGCCTAGTAGTGAATTTCCTGGGTCTAGACTCCACAACCCTTGGCGCCTCGTCTTCCGAGGAGTAACCCTCGCGATCCAGGGAACGCGTTCGGCGAGTCTTATCCTCTCTGGTGGAAGAATAAGAGCTGGAGGGGAATTCACTGCTGGCAGAGCGGATGAGAGATGGTTGGGATCTGGGGGCACTGGCCGTACTCTCGGCACTCGTAGCCTCCGTCTGGGAATCGGTTTCGCCAGCATGTTTCTTCGCCGGCACCGCTGGTGGAATCTTCTTCTTCCGCGGCGGCAGGGGATCATCCTTGGTGTCCGTGCCCTTGGATACCCCCGCTGGAGTGGTATATACTATGGAGCGGTGCTCCCGCTCCTGCAGAGCCTCTTCGGAGACTTCGTGGCCGACATCTTCTGCAGAATTCGTCTGCGAGTGATTCTTCTCCTCGTCCTTTTCGCGGTCATCCATGATCGAGCTGCAACTGCTTCAGGGCACCCGATTTCCATTCACTCATTTTACAATTTTTGGCATAGTTCTCAAAACTAGAATACTCAACCAAATGCCTGCTTGCTATCTTTTAAGTTTTGGAATTTTCTCTGTCAAACCGGTTAGCCAAAAGTGCTCCAAAACTCAATTAACACTATGCCAATTAAGTTTCGACTGTGCGAGTGCTGTGAATAGTTGGGTTTTTATGGGTAAACTCACATCATTTGATTTTTCGACACCGAAAAGGAAGCTAAGCGACCGCGAAATCTAGTTAATCAAGCTTGGAGGAAGGCCAGCCTTGGGAAAGGAACCTCTTCAGAAGTCTTGTCAAAATCTGCTTTAGGAGCATTTCCCTGATATGCAGTTAAGAGTGGTATTCACTTGAAATTCAATTAAAGACTAGTATTCATTCACTTGTCAGCTTATCTATTAAACAAATATAAAGGTTACTAATATGAGAAAGCGGCTCTAAGGTAAAGTCTACTATACAGAATTATTATTGGTACCAGACAAACAACCATTACTAGAGTACACTATATAACTAAACTATCCAATTTAAACTAAATCAACGCACAACAAAATACACTCTAATGAGACTACAAGGTTTTATTTTTTTCTTATCACTATGTAAGGTAAAAATAAACAGAAAATATCAAAGGTTCTCTGTTAATAATTGTAAAGCCTTATTCAATCGAAAACGCACCAATAAAAATGTAGATAATCTGTATGCCTTATAAAGGGTATAACCAACACTTTTTCCATAACACCCACACATATATGAATAAAAGGGAATTTCAGACACCGCTGCACCTGTTAGTTTTCCCGCAATCTAAAGTTCTTGTAAATCCCCCATTTTGATAAGGCTTATCAATGAACAAATATTTACCTGGGGAAATCGTTGCGCATCTTGAGCGGCAATGTGCGTCTGTCCTTGGATTGATCTGCGCTAATGGATCGCTGCACCTGCTGCTGGGTCTTCGGGTCCTCCTCCTCCTGACTGGTACTGGGTATGACCTCCGAGGTGGTATCTGCTGGTACGTATTCCTCGGTGGGCGTGGCATGGGGATCCGTTTCGAAGTCGGATATCTGATCCACTTCGTCCTCGGATCGCACTTCGTGGATGCTTGCGCTTTGTATACTGGGTATGGAGCTGCTGCGACTGCTTCCCAGTCCTGGGAGGCGGATGCGACGCGGGGGCGTGGCTGGCGGAGTGCGTTGATCACCGGAGTAATCCTCGAAAGACGGGTGACGACGGTTCTCCAGCAGTTTGAGACTGTGCCGCTCCTGCTTCATGAAGCAGACGGTGGTTTTCAGGGTCTCAAAGCGGTGCACCTTCTGCCGGACATCCAGCAGGGCGGGATCGGGGGTGGGGGGTGTCGTGGGAGAGTCACCTGGCGTGGTGACCTCCACTCCTCCCCCGCCGCCACCGTTTTCCCCCGCCACCTCGTGCATCTTGAGCAGAGAGCGTCGGTTGAAGGCGCTCTCCGTGTCGGAGTTCACGGAGTACGAGAGCTGGAACGAGCTGGAGCTGCTGCTGGGTGGAGAACCTCCGTCGACCGCCTCCGGCTGGCTACTGACGAGCGTGCTCGAGTGGCGCTCCTGCTCCGCCGCCTGCTGGCTGATCCGGCGGCGCGAGTTGCGCTTGTTGAAGTTGCGGTTGCTGAGATTGCGCTCCCGCCGGAAGGGCAGCGGACTGAGATCTTCGTCGGCCATTTTGGGTACCGGGTGTTCGCCTCCCGATAAACCTTATCTACCGAGTGGGTGCTACTCTCTTTCTCCGGTTTTCCTGGTCTCTCGGGGGCTTTTCACTTCGGCATTATCATTGGGGTATTCTCTTTCAGCGAATTTTGCTTCTCCGCTCCAGTTGAATTAAATATTTACGACCAGCTATTTACTTTCGGGTTTTTGTCACCGCCAAGTGTATATAATGTGTATCTTATTTTGAATTTTTTCGGTTTTTTGGTTTCAGCTGTTTTGCGTTAAAAACACGTATTTGTATCTCTCCGCTTGTGTTGGCGTCAACTGTTTCGCTTTTTGCCTCGCTTTTGATTCTTTTCGTCGCTTTATTGCGCTGCAAAACAGAAATTTGTAATTAAAGCGATTCGTATCGTCAAAGCTCTATAAATAAAGTATTAAAGTCGAGTTTGTACAGCTAATTAGACATGTATGGGGGCAAAATGCTGACGGAAAGCGAATGCAAGTTTTGACAAGGGACTTAAATCATTATCGACTAGGAAATCCGGAGTGGAACCTTGAAACAATATAATATTGCATCGGTTATAGTTATCAGTGAGAAGAAAATATTAATACCAGTTTTATATTTGATAACTTAATCTAATATCATTTTTGAACAAGAACAATTATGTTTTATATAACCCCACACAAGTTTTTAAATAGGCAAACATTCTTTGAATTAAGATCTCAGTCCCTCTCCCACTCTATGCAGATGCTCAAATATTTGCATAGAACTTAACTATGAGATAGAAAAGATTTATTTTTGTGACAAATGACGTCAAGTTGTCGGAGGTTCGTGACAGAAGGAGAGATCCAATATAGGACTGTCTTGTGTGGGAAAGGGAGGCATTCATTCTGTGTGTAGTTAATTATGTGTGACGTTTGGATTGTGTTTTCAGCTTTTTTATTTAAGCAAAAACAAGTACAAAGCACTCGAAACCGCAAATGAGGCACGACAAAAAGCAAATCAAGAGTGAGCGGCTCGAAAGCTTGAAAAAGAGGAGGAAGTACGAAGTTCCCCCAACAAAAGAAAGTAGAAAAAGTCGCAGAAATGCAACATTTCGATTCCGGAATAGCTCCGCATTTGAATGTGCCCATATCAAAAGCAATTTCTTGTTGTAAAAAATGTAGTACCTACTTTGTAGCGTTAAAAAATATATGTTTTCAACAATTCCCACGATACTAAACATTAGGGATCCTTAAAGACTAAAGAAATGCATCGTTGGATCAGGATCCTTTATATTTATTTAAAAAAACATTAATCGTGGTAAATTATTGCCTTGCTTTGTATCCAGGTTTATTACTAAACAGATATCAATAAAGCCAAAAGAGAGTATTTATGACCTAGTTAGATAAGTTCTAACCCCCCAATGGTTCGGCTTTTGCGGAGGTATTCCCAATTCCTGATGGTTTTTATCTTATCGGGGTCATATATTGTGTAGTGGCTATAAAATTGTTCTATTGTTGCAATTGGCAAGTGCAGTTTCCCTAAAAGGGTTTTTCCATATGCCAGAAAAAGAACCTTGTTAACTTAAGTGCTGATTACATTACGTGACCCTGACTCCATATTTTGGCTATTTAGATAACGGATTAATCTGCTTATGGAACCCCAAGCTTCTTGGGGGATTTTTCAATCGTTATTAATAGACCGCAAACTGGTTATAGCCACCTAATTGGCCATTTAGCGTCGTCACATGCAAGTTCCATTGTGTTTAACTTGGACTACCTTTTACTCCCCTGCAACAAAGGGTATATTGTTTTGGTGATAATCTAGAATATACAATACATCCTGTACAAAATATTTCGAGATCAGTGAAGCGTGGGGACTGGGAATTTTCATTTGAATCATTTACAATCGTTCACTGTCGATCGTTGTATGATTCATACTTGTTATCACTCCCCATTCCACCCACTCCTTATCGCGATTTATATATTTGAATGGGTTTTAAAGCCACTTCTAGGTATTTTCGGCGCACATTGTAAAACTCCGGCAATCAGAAAGGGGAACTTTTCGATGTGCCATCAAATCTAATCGATGGAGGATAGGTAAACAAATAGATATTGTTAGGGAACCTTGAATTAGAGGCGCACTTGCGCACTCGGATGATACGTTTTTCGCCCATTAGCAAAGTTTGCTAGCAAAATAGAGTTTCTATCGCCGTGTTACTGTTTAGTCAGCCGATTACAAAGATAAAGGCAAACAGAATAATGGCTTAAAGTGGGAAAACCGCTCGTTACTGACACGACTCAGTACGACTGTACATATAGACCAAAACAGCTTTACAGCCGAACTGATTCCAGAGAAATGTCACATTTGGTCGTTCATTTGCCAAATTAAAATTAGAGTTTGATTTTCAGGTTTCGCACAGTTCATAATTTGTGGGCACGTGTTAATGAGACAGTTTTGTAAGCGCGTGCAGACGTTTATATATTTATTTCTTCACTACCTGGCACTCGAGTCACTTGCCAATTTTGGCACTTACATTGTTGGCTTTTATCGGTTTTGGCTCGGCTTAAGGTCACGGTGCACGCTGCGTATACGCAATGCTTTGGTGTATGTGGTTCTTTATGAAGCGATCGCCGAAACGGAGAATTTTTACCGACGGGCAGTACGTTCGCTCACCTGCGCATTTGAATTCGCACTGAGGTGGAGTGGAGCTGAATAATTCGCAGTGCAGCAAGTGCGAGAATTATCGCCTCTCCCGATCTGCGAGCTCTCTCCGACTATATCTACATCGCTCTTTCTATATCTTTTTGCTCCCGCCGTCTGGCTTGCTTTTAACTGTTCGCCCGCCGAGTTAGGTTTAATTTCTTATATGCGCTCGCTTTTTTCGTACTATTCAGATTGCTCTCTCGGGCTTATAGGCCATAGCGGTTCCGTTCTGTGCCGCATTTTCCACAGCAAATTATTGTCATAATTCCGACTCTCATTCTTCGCAGTGCCTTTTATTTCTGGAGTGCCATTGCAGGCGGCATAAATTCTTAATTAGTCTAGGCTACACGGAAAATAATTGTATTAGCCTAACCAAATTTAAAATTATTTAATGTATGTTTGGTTTAAATTATGTGTTTTAGTTTTTAAGAAGGGTGGCATACATTTGTGTAAAGAATTTATTAAGTACAATTTCTATCAGTCGCCAAAAATATAAATTTTAAGTCTTAAGAATGTTTTTAAAGAAAAAGGGTAGCTTTTTTTTCCATAAAATAACTTTTAAATGTTATATCACTTTTTAAACTACAATTGTGAAGTCTAACTTACTTATATCTTATATCTTATATACTGGTTTAGTTCATTCTCTTAAGAAATCTTTTGAAAACGGAACAAAGTATAGACATATTGTGATTTTTATTATTTCAACCTAATAATGGATATAAAATAATTACATTTTAAATGGCATATTAAGTCTACGATAATTTTTTCTGTGCAATAAAATTTTTGGTCTCCGCCAGCAAGAATAGAAAAGGAATGCGGAGAAAATTCCCTTACAACCAGGCAGTCTGGCAGAACAACTTCAAAATCGAAAACGAACCGAATATTTTCCCGACTAACTTGTAGTGTGCCAAATAAACCTCGGACTTTTCAATCCCAGGAATACTGCGGGTGAGTTCGCAGTGACTTGTCATATATTTTTCACCTGTTCTACTCGATTATGCACTCGTCAGCGTGTTTGAAATGTCTGCCTTATCGGCAGTGATTGCCATATCTTATCAAATGGGGTCTACAATCGAAACCTCCAACAGAAAATAAAGAGCTGAATACACGCCGTCGCATTAAAGGCCACAAATCGGTCATTTTCTGTGGATTTTCGCTTGATTCTCCAAGAACTCTGGGCTCAGTTTTCTGGGGCTTTTCGTTTTGGTTACTTTTGCACAGTTTTGCGCTTATCTTTGCACATTTTCGAACGTACTCCGCCCCGCCAACACAAGAAGTGGCCAAATCGCATGGAATACTTCCCTCCAGCTCACTATGGGGAATTTGCTCACTTTTTGTGGCATTAATTAATATCTTAAGAACAAAGCAACATTTAAAAGTTTTGTTTTTAGAATTAAGTATATAAAATTTAAAGGAAGTAAATTAAAAAAAGATGGGCGTGGTCCCGCCTTTTTTTTAAGAAAAAAAAATTTTTTTTTCTTGTCAATAAAATAAAAAAAATTTTTTTTCTTGAATTTTTTTTTAAGAGACCAAACTGATTTAAAAAAAAAATTTTGCCTTTTTTTATTTCCCATTTTTTTAGTGAAATTGTAATTTTTTGTATTGTGATCACTATAATTCTTAACAAAAATACTAAAATCCTATATATCAACGTTAAGTAAGTGAAATGATGTTGTAAAATAATTTTTAAATAATCGTTATTTAATAAGAAATATAACTGCACACTGTTTTTCTTAAGATAACATCGAAACTGGCATTTACCAGACAAAAATGAGGAAAATATACCATATTAGGTAGAGGTCTTTAAAGCTAAATTTTAGAGAAAGTGCGCAAAAGTGCACTTTTATACTAACCGAGCTCAATGAGAATTAAATTCTCTACAAGATAAAAAAGGTTTCAGAGGTGGAAACTGCTGGAATCACTTTGTAGCTCTATTTAAAAATACAAATTAACTTAAAGATTTTGATTTTTTTGAGGTTAGAACTAGAACACGAATATACGAGCACCACAATCAATAAATACAATATTAAGGTCACAAACACAAGTTACAAGTCCCTCTGATTGGATGGTATTTCAAAAACCTCAGAGCTATGTTTAATTTTACACTTTTTGACAATTTAAACTATTAAGAATAATAGGCGCTTTACCAGCGCTGCCACCTCGTTGAAATAAAAACAGGCTTTAACAGCTGATAACTTAACAGTGGTGCGTACTGTTAAACTTTTCTGTTAGTAACATTAGATATTGATGTTATCGTGATGCATTCTGATAAACAAAACCTATTTTTAACGACTTTTAAAAAATGGGTTTTGGCCAAAAAAAGTGGTCAAATTCCCCATAGTGCAGCTGTGGGAGTCCCATGGTATTGCAAACTGGTGAAATCGATTGCGTTTTATTGTGTTTATTTGGGTAGGACACAAGATTAGGAGTGGTAATACCTGGAAATTGTGGGAGTCCCATTCGTTCAAAATACATGTTCTTTATCACTTTTATGATTACCTACATTTTATAACAGTTTATGTCAGGTTTTAGGTAAGAGTAACTTATTATTAGACATATGCAAAGTTTACTTTAAAACAACCCAACTGCTTTTGCCTTAAAACCTAAAAGAATAATTAAAAAATAAAATACTTTACTATCATTTCTTTTTTATTGCAGATAGTAATAATACAATTGTCAAAACGTTTTTAATTTTCTTAGGTTACGCGCCATTTATAAAAAATCCAATTCGCTCTGCCACTTTCGAATTCGCCGCAAGCAACTACAATCTAGCCGGGTTAACAACCTAGTACGTCCTTCTACCACCAAATTTCTCATCAAATACCACAACCACATTATTCAGAGTTACCGGATCCAAAGTAGCCGTTAAAATTAAAATTTATTACACGAATTTTTGCTCTTGAAATAATTATAAGTAATGCATAGTTTTGTAGTCATAATTACATATTTTTTAACAAAAATATATGTATTAAATATATTTAAATTAAAAATAAAATTTCGAGATTGAAACGACCTATTTCTCCGACAGTCTATAGCTTGACCAATGCAAATCTCTTTTCATTGAATAGGCAGGAAAAACTAAAATGTAATTTTTGTATGAAAATATTAAAAATCTTTCATAAGCTGACAACCCTGCAAAGTGAACCTGATGCTTCCCACATAAGTAAACATCTTAGATGCACTCGAATTTCGTCGCCAGGCACCGCCAGTCGAGATCGATAGAAGGCAAAGTCCAGGGCACCGCCATCGAATGTTGGGCGTTTCAAATTTCCTGGCTGCTTTAATTGCCGATTTCCCATTATCTTTGATTTTGTACATATGCGACGAAAATTCCTGCAAATATGGGAAAACTATGATAAGATAGGATAGCCCTTTTTCCAATATTTATGAAATGGAATATAATAACCTAGCTATTTGAAGGTCAATAAATTTCTATTTTTTGGCACTTTGTAATATACATATGTAGGTTTAGGCAAGGGACCGCAAATAAAAGTTACTTGTTTATTTTATTTTGAAAGGGTTATTGAAAATTGTATTAATTTTTTAACCAACTAGGCTGATTTTTGCATTCTTTGTAGTCTAGCTAAATATATAGCTTTATTTATTCTAAATATTTGCTGATTCTTTTATACTTCGTGGACAAGATTATATTGACGTTCAAAAATAACAAATATCTCTGATTTAATTGTACTAGCTTAATTTAGGTATTGCTATTAAGGGATTGTACTTAATAGAAGTTCTTATGTACTTCGTCTTAATGCGTCGAAAAAGTCAGCTTATGGGGGAGGAGGATGATAAAAACTGTTCAGAATTGGAATATGATAAATACTAGATTACTATATTGGTTATAAGCATTAGCTAGCTAGTACTTCCACCATTAAAATATCATTGTTTAAACTGTCTTTAAAGCAGGCAATCAAAGAGCTTCTCCCACTAAAAGCACAAACAAATATTTGCTACCTTTATTTTCGCTACTATAATTGGTTTATAATTGAACAGAGAGGAGAGGTATACTATATAGATAGAGTGAGTAGAGAATGAGAATGGGAGAGAAAACTGGAAGTAAGAACAGAGAGTGACTTTGGAAGACTAGATTTATGAAATCTAATGGCCAAATTTGGAAGCCAAGGCAAGCTCAATGGAATATTGCATTCCATCTATCAAGAGAGTGTAAGAAGAAGAAGCTGGAATGAACCAAATAACTGGTTAAATATGTTAACTAACTCATTAACCGTGTTTCCTTTTCAACGCCCACTAAAAGTAGAACCAAGAGAGAGCGTATACCTTTAATTGCTCTCTATCTCTCATTCAAGCCGGCCGGCTTACTCAGACATGCAAGCACCCACAAGCTTGAGAGAGAGTGGGGTTTCAGGAAGAGAGCCCCAGTGGGTGAGCGTATAAAAGCCGCGTCGCCGGCAGAAGAAAGTCAGTTGCTGTGCAATCGTTTTGGCGATCGGTTCAGTGAGTGAAAGCGTCCCAGTGGGTGGAGAGAGAGTAACGGAAGAGAGTGCGGAACGTACGCTTGATTGCCGAATTGAAGAACTGAGAGCAGCCCAGTCCCCAGCTGATTTGTATTCTTTCCCGAGGTAAGCTATTGGGATCCCGATCCCTCGTCTGGAACCATCCACCGAATTTCGTACTGCTCAAGTGATGTAATTACGCACCTCAGACCCATACAACAACACGAAAGTTTTACCCTTGCCAAAAATTGGAAAACGCTTTTGCGAACTTCGAAGCCAGCCGAATGGTGTTCGTCTCGATGCGATTCGGTTCTAAAATTACACACATTGGTTTTTTGGCTTCGATTGATTTTTGATTTTTGGGTCAATCGATTCGAAATCGAAAAGTTTTGAACTCGTTTCGCTGATTCGCAGTTCGCGCGGATCTCTCGCCCCGCTCGCAAGCAAATATGTGAAGGACAACTACGCGAACCGATCAACTAAAGGCCCTCTTCTTCTGCCTCTTCAGAAACCGATCAGATCGAACAGAAATATAGAAACAACCATTGCACCTCCGTCGACTGTGGAGTGCGTGAACGTATTTCGAAGCGTGAGGTACTCGAATCGGGAACCGTCTTGAGTGCAGTGATATTCAGATCAGAACCTCATCAAAACGCAGGCTTACATAACCCCCGACCAATACCTTTCCGAAAGAAAGAAAAAGTTAAGAACCGAGCAAAACAATCAGGAATATTTCCGAACTGATAATGGAGTGTACGCCTTGAGACTAGGGGTCCCAGACTTTCGAATTCTAGTGATAACCCCATCGCCTAGTTCATCTCGGAAAGTTGCCCATATGGCCGGCTGTGCACGTGAATCCATTCAGTGCAGTGCCCATTGACGTACTTTACTATCCCCTGGGTCCTTGACCCACCGTGTGATCCCTGCCCTTTCCCATGGATTCTAATTCGAATTCGATAATTGGATAATCTTGGCGTCATTATCTGCGCTAACCTTTTCCCACGATTAAAGTGAAACCATTTCCCTCGATTTAGTGCCAAAGTGCCAGATCAAAGAGCCAAAATAGATCAGCAAATCGAAATTGAATTAAATCATGACACCGAAACACAGAGACAGACCAAATTAAATTCAATTGAAGCTGTCGTGGCAACAAGTGCCAGGAAAAAAGAAGGCAGAAGATAACGCCGAAAAGTCGAATCGATTGTTGCAATTTGAGACTCTCCGCTCCGAAAGCGAAAATTGCAGATTGCAGCGGAAGAGGCGGCCAGTCGGGCATTACTGAACCGGGGGAGGGGGTCGAAATCTTGGTGACTGACTGGGCGCCCTGCCAAAATCATGGCAAAGGCAAAGATACTTTAGCTATACAAGTATACATGTATCGAACGAAAACTGGTTTACGTTCCACATGGATCCTATCCCACGTTTAAATATTTATCCAGCCAATGCAAAAAGTGTCGACTACAATGAAAACAGGGGCGTAGTACCCGTTCCTCCGGCGATTCTTCTGCCAGCAGCGCCAACGCCCCAAAAGATATTGAGCCTGACTTTTGCGCGACTCGGCAAAAACAAGAAAAGAAAATATAGGGGGGTGGGTAAAAGTGGGCAGTGGAGGAGTGGTGTCTGTTTCTCTGATGTGCGTGGGTGTGTTGTCTGTGGACAATCAATGCACTTCCGCTGGGTCTATGGGGAAATACTCTTGTGCACAAGTATGCATTTCAAGAGGTATATACTGTATATATTGCAGTTTTATGGTAATTATCTTTTCTGTCAACTTTTGCCTTGACTGCGCTTGATTTATTGCACAATTCTTGAGAAGCCCCCCAAATAAGGCCAGAAATAAATAACTGGAGAGCAAACATGGCTTCAAAAGTATGCGTGCCAAAGCTAACTAACAGATTATACCAGCTTACCCCCAGCGGGTTTTTATATTGCACCCATTCGCAGAATCTTCTAGTCATTCTTTATCTTGGATCTTTAATCGTAAAAGTTTACGAACCTATTCTTATCCTTATCACTCACGCATATTCTGACCCACTTCGCACACAAACATTTGTCACGTTCTCCCTATCACAAAAACCAGGCTATCGACTGATTAACCGGGCTCAAACTTAGAACAAACATAAACAAAATTGGGGAAAAATAATCTTAGCTATTTCGCCATAATATGAAATTTTTAATCATTACTCAATATTCCCAAACTGAAGGCTCTGAAAGTAAACATAGGTTCTATTATAAAAACAGATATAAATATATATTAATACAGTTTGATAACTTTCTTAAAGAGAACTTACTTAACAAAAAGTTTATGTTACTCATTTTAAATTGAGTAATCGAGAGTACTTTCGACATGATTTCAAGAACGATTCTTCTCAAATAAGTAGGAGCCGAGTTCTCTAAATGAGAAGATATGTATGATCTTGATCAAGAACACGTGCTACATAACTCGAACTTATGATAGGTGATGGTTCGTGTTATGGAAGTTTTACTGTATTTGTTCGCCCTACCTAGTATTACATTGATAAGAACCTTGATAGCATAGCCAGTCGATGACTAAGCCGATTGTTTTATTTTCACCTCATTTCGCAGGGAATTGCATTGAGAAAGCTCAGAGATGGCCGATGAAGCACAAGCACCACCAGCTGAGGGCGCACCACCAGCCGAGGGCGAGGCGCCACCACCCGCCGAGGGGGCCGAGGGTGCCGTCGAGGGCGGAGAGCCCGCTCCTCCGGCAGAGCCCGCCGAACCCATCAAGCACAGCTACACGCTCTTCTACTTCAACGTGAAGGCGTTGGCCGAGCCCCTGCGCTACCTGTTCGCCTACGGCAACCAGGAGTACGAGGATGTCCGCGTCACCCGTGACGAGTGGCCAGCCCTGAAGCCAAGTGGGTTCCAAAACTTCATAACCACGCGGATCCATATAACCTGGTTCTCCTCCCCCAACAGCCATGCCCATGGGCCAGATGCCCGTCCTCGAGGTGGACGGCAAGCGTGTGCACCAGAGCATCTCGATGGCCCGTTTCCTGGCCAAGACCGTCGGCCTGTGCGGCGCCACTCCGTGGGAGGACCTGCAGATCGACATTGTGGTGGACACCATCAATGACTTCCGTCTAAGTAGCGAACAATGTGTGCCTCAGTTTCATGTTCAGTGTCCTTGATTAACTCTGGAATTTTTAATGTATAGAAATTGCAGTCGTCTCGTACGAGCCGGAGGACGAGATCAAGGAGAAGAAGTTGGTCACCCTGAATGCGGAGGTCATTCCATTCTACCTGGAGAAGCTCGAGCAGACCGTCAAGGACAACGACGGCCATCTGGCTCTGGGCAAGGTGGGTGATAAAATCTTGACAATACTACTTTTATTTAAGCTGTGAAATGGAAAAACAACCAACACTGAAGAATTCGCGGTTAAGGGATACATCTATGATTTAAGACAGATCCGGTCCCTATGAAATTATCTTGGGCTAAAGCATTCGCGACTTTTAGAAAACAATAGTGATCCCATTTTGCTGAAGATTTAAAGGAAACCCATCTTTTCTAAATCTTCTCTTATGCAGAGCTTCATTAACTTTATGACTGCTCTATCCTTGTAAGAGATAATCCTTAATAAAATCCCTTTTTCCACCCACAGCTGACCTGGGCCGACGTCTACTTCGCAGGCATCACCGACTACATGAACTACATGGTCAAGCGCGATCTGCTGGAACCCTACCCAGCCCTGCGCGGTGTCGTGGATGCCATCAACGCTTTGGAACCGATCAAGGCCTGGATCGAGAAGCGCCCCGTCACCGAGGTCTAAGTGCCCCGAACTGGAATTGGGAGGAGGGAAACCATTGCACACCACTCAGACACAACTGCAGAAATGCACACACCACCCACATCCGTACACATTTTGTTCCTTTTTGCGGAGGATCCGGGTCCGAGGAGCGGCGGACTTTCGCACGGGGTCTTAGACGCGTAGGAGTTTAGCACGTATCACTATGAACAAATCGTATTTGTTTTTACTTTCTTGGTTATAATTCTCTTTGCATGGCGCTATATACATATTTCTATTGGGATCCGCTGCGGATCGCCGTTCGTTAGCTTCTTCTGAAATGATGAAAGATACATAATACTTATTGCACAGTTTATAATATTTTGGCCTACGTTTAGAACATACATTTAGCGCACCTATGCAGACGCTTACTGTAACTATGTTTATAAATACAAAATCTACGAGTGGTTCATCTTTTAGACGTATTCTATTATAATTAATTCACTGCGAAAAGCTCAACACATATTTAAACAAATACAGCGAAGGCTGAGCATCAATTACAAATTTTATTTATTTTTTTTTTGTGTTTTTAACAACACGTTATCGCGGCCCCAGGAACTTTCTTCGTCTCATCCAGTTCCCTATAAAGTAAATCTTAAAAAAGACTCACATCAATAGAACCGGACTCCTTGAAAATTAACCAAAATCAAACGATATGGAAAATCTATAATAGGAACAGACTTTAACTGCCAAATTCAAATGCACGCAATCACTTACATCAACTTATACATTTTATTTATTCAAATTTGTAATGGTATTTTTTAAATATTTTCACAAAACACTTTTAAATAAACTAAACACCTAAAAAGGAATGAGCACTTTTCGAAAGCATCACAACTCGTTTTACTTCACTTTGGGGATTCCATTTTCCAAGATTTCAAATATTTTCTAGAACAAGATTGAATTTTTAAACCAATTAGTTTGGATTCCTCATGGCTAAACATATATGTTTCCTTACATTTCATATTATTCCAAGACAGTTAAAAAAGGTTTGAAATATTAAACACGCAAGTGACATTTGAAAATATAAAAACAGATATTTAATAACTTTTTTTGTCACATCGGACTTAGCTTAAAAGTATAAATGCACATTTGGCCAGTTTTGTTTCATAGTCTGCCATTGATAGTTGCGGTTACTGGTGCTTCCAGTTGGGTGGGCGCTTCTCGAAGAAGCTGGTGATGCCCTCTTTGGTGTCGCCCAGCTGGAAGTTCTCGCACATCTTTTCCTGGGCAGCAGCAAAGGCTTCCGCCTGGGACATGGCCAGCTGCTTGTAGTAGAACTCCTTGCCCAGAGAGATGACGGCCCGACTCTTGGCCTTGATGGCGTTAGTGATTTCCTCGATCTCCTTATCCAGATCCTCAGCTGGAACTGCTTTGGTGACCATTCCCGATATGTAGGCGTCTTCGCCGGTAACTGGAAGACCGGTCATTAGCATATAGGCGGACTTTGGACGCGACATGATGCGGGCAACGGCCACACCGGGAGTGGAGCAGAAAACTCCAACGCCAGCTCTAGAAGGGATTGATTGATAGCTGGATTAAAAGGGTCTGTAATGGTGCTCCATCCTTACCCCGGGGTGGAGAACTTGCTTGTCTTGGAGCAGACCACCATGTCGCATGAAACCACCAGTTGGCAGCCCGCAGCAGCCGCATAACCATTGACCTTTCCTATCACAGGCACAGGTAGCTTTTGGATGTCGTTTATAACGTCGGTTAGCTTCTGAAAAACGCAGGCCTGTATCTGGGGGTCGTTGTGCAGCTCCTTGAGGTTGTGACCCGCCGACCAGATCTTTCCCTGGGCCGTCAGAACCACACATCTCAGGTCCACATTATCCTTATCTTTGACCAGAGCATCGTGAAGGGCAGACATCATCTCTAGCGATAGGGAGTTCAGGGTTTTTGGGTGATTCAGCGTTATCTCCCGCACTCCCTGCTCCTCCTTGACCAGGACCAGATCACTTGCTCCTCCGCTGGCGAAGCGGAGCACCTGTGGCGTCCAACCTGTTGCATATTTTGACACTTTCCAGGAGTTTGGCAAGACACGCAACATTTTTGTTTTGATTTGGCACCAGTGTTGGACAACATGCTCGCCTAACAGCTGACCACCTATCGAAACAGCTGCTCATCGATAGCAACAGTCATCGAAACCGCTATGAGTTTGTACGATTGAAAGTTTAAGTTTTATCCGCATTTTTCAAAGCTCTTCCGCGTACTTAGCTGTTCCACTGTACAGGTGAGTAACCGCTCAGGTGCGTCAATAACCGCTGCCTTTGTTTGTGCATCAGCTGAGCGGCCAGAAACAACAACAACGCCAGAAGCGAGAGCCCCCTATGTACTTGGTAAACCTAAACCTATGTGACTACCACACATGCAGAACTTTATCAGCCGCCAAAGCGATTTGTTTTCGTCGCCCCACATTTGCTGGCCCCACGAATCAGTTAACCACTCGAACCGCAACAGAGCGGATCCATCCGATCCCCCGATTTGAGCTCCACTAAAGGGCATTCGCACTCGCACTCCATTCCAACAGCTGCCACAAGATGCGTCCATTCTCCGGCAGCGACTGCATCAAACCCGTCACCGAGGGCATCAACCGAGCCTTCGGCGCCAAGGAACCCTGGCAGGTGGCCACCATCACGGCCACCACGGTCCTGGGAGGCGTCTGGCTCTGGACAGTGATCTGCCAGGATGAAAGTGAGTTGATAGTGAAGATCTCCAAGGAGGAGTTCGCTTCGAGTAGGATAGTATAGAAGATAGAACTTCTGGGACAAGTTCTCTGGGCTTGTGTACCCAAGAAAATATGTAATCTGCTAGAAGAGAAGTAAGAAAGGGCAGTACATACATACATATATACATACATATGTACAACATAATGCCAAGTCACCATAGTCAGCTCATTCCTTCTGTTCCCAAGTTGCAGGGCAAGGCCCGTAAATTACCCAAAATTCATCAAACTATCTTATCTAATGGGCGCGTTCCTTCAAAACCTTTATAAATACAGCTCGAGTTCTTTAAAATAAACTAGTTAAAGCCGCATTTTTAAAAATACACATATGTATATATTATGTTATTACTCTAAGTTTCATAAGCATATGTACTTATGACTTAGAATTGAACTCTTATCAGAAAACTTCACATAAAAGATAGCTAAAAATATTTTTCTCAAGTAAATAAAAGGGAATTTAACTGTAATTGTGGTCAAAGCGTATTATTATCATTCAGAAATAAACCTCAATGTGTACTTTGTGCTCTAACCTTATATAAGCTTGATCAAATGCCATGCACTCGACGGCTGCCCTCCCCGAACTTCTGTACTTAATCAATCCACAGATTAGGTTCGATTAGAGTTAAAACGTTTGTTGAAGCGTGTAGCAATCAATGAGATATGCAAAGTTCAACAGCTTGAAGCAAAGAAATCGATTAGATTGAGATATCCCCCGTTTCCTATAACATAAAAACAAATTTAACCAGATCCCATTTGAATGGCCTGTTTAGTACCAGAACTAATGGAACTTAGTAGTTTCCCAAAACCATGACTAATTCGTTTGAATAAGAATGCTCCTATTTGCTAGCATAGTTTCTTAAAGGGTTCCATAAAACCAGTCCAAAGTTTCGTCTACACCAAAACACGCCATATCTGATAAACTTTGAGTGGTATAATATATCGTTTATCAGGTGACAATTCATCTCAATAAATGTTCTTTGTTTTGGGTCTGTTCACCTCAAGATAAGCCTAATTTTAGCTTTTGATGTTTTTATGAATTATCCAGATGTCTAGAACAAAGTGTTATGGAAACGTTTCCTTAAACCTGAGCCAACTAATTACAGATCTCCTCCTCCCCCAGGTCTTTACATCCGTGGCAAGCGTCAGTTCTTCAAGTATGCCAAGAAGATTCCCTCCGTGCGTCGTCAGGTGGAGACCGAGTTGGCCAAGGCCAAGAACGACTTCGAGTCGGAAATAAAAAAGAGCAACGCCCACCTCACCTACGTGGAAACTCTGCCCGAGAAGGGCCTCAGCAAGGAGGAGATCCTCCGACTAGTGGACGAGCACCTGAAGACCGGCCACTACAACTGGCGCGATGGTCGGGTATCCGGCGCAGTCTACGGCTACAAGCCTGAGCTGGTGGAGCTCGTCACTGAGGTCTACGGCAAAGCTTCCTACACGAATCCCCTGCACGCGGATCTCTTCCCGGGCGTGTGCAAAATGGAGGCTGAAGTTGTGCGCATGGCGTGCAACCTCTTCCACGGAAACTCTGCCAGCTGCGGCACAATGACCACCGGCGGCACCGAGTCCATCGTGATGGCAATGAAGGCCTACAGGGACTACGCGAGGGAGCACAAGGGAATCACCAGGCCAAATATTGTGGTGCCGAAAACTGTGCATGCTGCCTTCGACAAGGGCGGGCAGTACTTCAACATCCACGTGCGCTCCGTGGATGTTGATCCGGAGACCTACGAAGTGGACATCAAGAAGTTCAGGCGTGCCATCAACAGGAACACTATTCTGGTAGGGATCTGCATGGTTAATTTATCTTATTTACCCCGATACTTAATGTAACTCTTTCCATGCAGCTGGTTGGTTCCGCACCCAACTTCCCCTATGGAACCATCGATGACATCGAAGGCATCGCCGCTCTGGGCGTGAAATACGATATTCCCGTCCACGTGGATGCCTGCCTGGGCAGCTTTGTGGTGGCCCTGGTCCGCAATGCTGGCTACAAGCTGCGTCCCTTCGATTTCGAAGTCAAGGGAGTGACCAGTATCTCCGCTGACACCCACAAGTACGGATTCGCACCAAAGGGATCGTCGGTGATCCTTTACTCAGACAAGAAGTTCAAGGACCACCAGTTCACCGTGACCACCGACTGGCCCGGTGGCGTGTACGGCTCTCCCACCGTGAACGGCTCCCGAGCTGGTGGTATTATCGCCGCCTGCTGGGCCACCATGATGAGCTTTGGCTATGAAGGCTATCTGGAGGCCACTAAGCGCATTGTGGACACGGCTCGTTATATCGAAAGGGGGTAAGGGTACTATAAAACCAATTGAAATCCATTTTATAAATATATTCCTGTTCTAGTGTTCGCGACATCAATGGCATCTTTGTGTTCGGCAAGCCAGCCACTTCGGTGATTGCCCTGGGCTCCAATGTTTTCGACATTTTCCGGCTATCGGACTCACTGTGCAAACTCGGATGGAACCTGAACGCCCTGCAGTTCCCATCTGGGTGGGTGACTCAGCTTTTAAATTAGCGAAACCATTCTAATAAGTAATATTCATCTTTAAGCATCCACATCTGCGTGACGGACATGCACACACAGCCCGGAGTGGCGGACAAATTCATTGCCGATGTGCGCAGCTGCACGGCGGAGATCATGAAGGATCCCGGCCACCCGGTGGAAGGAAAGATGGCCCTCTACGGCATGGCCCAGAGCATACCCGACCGTTCGGTGATCGGAGAAGTGACTCGCCTCTTCCTGCACTCCATGTACTACACGCCCAGCCAGAAATAGACACCTGGGGCAACCCCCTAACTCCTCTCCCACCCCACGGAGCTGATGCATTTCCTGTGCCGTATTTAAACCACCAAAACACCCCGTTGTTAAACCTTCCTCAAGCAATTCCTTCTAGCCTGCAACTAGTGCTGTAATCGAGGGTACAAAACGTCGTCCTACGCGTAAAGGATCTACATTCATGCCGTATATCAACATTCGTCGCTCTTGGAGCCCTGTTATTGAAGTGTTTTTCTGTGTAACTTGCTAGTGAAATATGTAATAAAATAATATTAATCATTTTTTGTATTCTCAACTATAATTCCATTCTATTTATTAAATAACGTGTTTCCCATTAAATCATAACATATATTCTTAAATTGTATTGCTGCCACACAATTTCATTGATCGATTTGTTAGCATTTAATTTATATTTTGTTTACATTTTACCCCCTCAGCAATTAACAATAATTGCCGCTGCGTGGGTACTTGCAATCCGGTCTGATCTGATCTGGGTTGGTACATATTTCTGTTTCTTTTCTAACATTTTGCCACGCGTCGGCGTTTTTTAATTTAGTTGATCTTCGATGCCCAACCGACACGCCCATTTCCTCTTTTGTAATTTATGTAAGTCTCGAATGGCGTGCACAAAATATTTCAAATAAATTTCTATGGCGGAAACATTTATTTTGACGGGGAAGAGGCTGTTTTCGGGACACGCGTCCCATGTCATTTTTCGAAAACGAAATTAAAAATAGCCAAAAGTGAGCAACAAGTGTCGCACAAAGGTGACGATCAATTGGTGGCATCAATTTCAGGCCCCAACAAAAGCGAAACCTGTCACCTTAAGAGGGCACCCACGCAGCCCGGACTTCCTGCCCCTGCCATCTGAACTTTTGGAGTACTGCTATCCCTCTAAACCGGGCAGCCAGAAAGATTCGGCTCAAACCGGGTTGCCAAAAATCGAATGAAATAAGTTAAAATTCACCTTTTCGTGACGCAGACGCAGCTCCTCCGACTGCGCAGTCGCCGCCGACATCGACGCAGCGCCGAGCGAAGGTGGAGCGTTCCCACTTGGCGGCGGCTCATTCGCTACGCGCTCGTCGAACCGCCGAGACGTTCCAAATCGCTGCCGCCCTCGTCGCGGGTGTGAGAAGTTACCTTCCAAAAAGAAACATAAATGTGTAAAAATATTGGGGAGAAAACCTGATTTCTTATAAAAGAGTTGCACTTTTAACCGCCGATCTAAGCAGTTCTTATCGAATTGAGGTGGCGCCTGCAAACGATTTTTACCACCAGCATTTCCGTTTTACCCCTCGCGATTGTTTGTGCTTTTGTGTTATAATATGATATGATATGGAGTGAATTAACCCATCGTTCAGCCACCTAAGCGGTTTTCATTGAGTGCACATTCCGGAATTTCAATTACTTAGCCACTCGATAGGAAAGGAGCGCACTTCAAGGTAATTTCCAAGCAAACAAAATACAGGTGAAACAGTAACTCGAGTCCCGATGGATTCCGTTGTTTTGAGAGCGATAAGTTAAATGGCATATTATTAGCCAATTATTTAGTCACCAGCAATAACATCATCATGAATTGTTCATTAGCAGGTTTTTCAGTATCGATAAGGTAAACATACGACCTGAAATACATGGCAGCGTAAATGGGTGGAAACCCTACCTATAGGAAAGTAAACAGAACCTTGTTTTAACAACCAACTTGTTCTCAAGCGAAAATGTTAGGTGTAAAGTTTGTGCTTTAAACTTTTTCAAGGGTGGGATCACAGAATAGTTTTTTCAATTGATCGGAAGATGATTCTTCTAGCAAAAACTTGTATTCTTATTATACAACCTATTGCGTCTCTAATAATCTCCATATTTATGAATCATCTACACATTATAGATATATATCCATATACTTCCCAGACACACTTATCATTTATTAGATTTAAGTTATCGAAGAAGAGTTGAATAAATATTGTAGGCCCGTTATAAAATTAATGCGCAAAATATCTATATATTTGTAGACCACTCAAATCGAAATCTCCTCGGTTCCCATGGCATATCCAAGGCTCATATTATGTTTACATCTTGATATTCCGAACCCAAGCCAACCGTAGCGATAAGGTTCTCTTTTCTCACTCTTTGCCCACTATTATGTATTTTATCTAGCAGATAAGATATGACCGCGCACATACATATATCTCTAGGTTATATGGCAGACATGCTCCAATTTCGCGCAGAAACATTTGATGTGTCCGAACTTTTTGATGGGGTTCTTTGTTTGGTCAAAAGTTGGCATGCAATGGGCCAATCAATGGGGCAGCACCCTTTTCTGCATGTGCCCCTGCTCGGTCAGATAAAAAGTTTGGAGCCTCGTATGTGCATTTCTCGCCATGGCAACCTGCCCGCCAGCCGGTCACAACAAGTATGGAAGTCCACCACTCCGAGCGGAGTTGTTTGCCACCCAACAACAATGGCAACCCCCTGTCCGACCCAACAACCACCCAAGAGGGAGGACATTTGTTCCAGCGAGTGGCCAGCTGGGTGCGGCTTTAATGTCTGGCGTCATTATACCATTATAGCCCATGTTTCTCCAGAACTTTCGCTGCTCCTTTCAGTGTTTAATCGATAGAACCCGAAACGAGTGCGGGAAACTCTGGTTTTGCCCATTTTCATGGCTTTTTCCTCACTTTGCCATTTGTGTGCTAATTGCAGATCGAGGCTAAGTAACAGATTTTGGAGGGGGGGCTCGGCTCTTCGCAATGGCCACTGGAATGGGGACTCCTCTGTGGAGGCGGAGACCCAGTCACTGTCAAACATTTGTTTTGAGCTCGTTAAGTTTGCTGTTAATTATCGCTTGGAATTTCGCGACGCAGTACCGACTTTGCAGGTGAATATCTCATGAATAGCTTATGGGGAAAGATCAACAAAGTATTAGCCGGAAGTATTAGGTCTTTTAATGAGTTGTAACACATATAAATGGGACAAGTAAGATCGTTTGAGCTGTAAATAGTAGATCCTGAGTTGGTTTCTAAAAACTGTTGCTCACTTTGTGTCTACTAAAAAGTAGTCTATACCGACTTTATTAGAGGTAGACTACAAACCAAAAAGTTCGAAGGTGTATTTTAAATGATAACCAAATATATACCCATGATGTAACACAACAATACAGAACACGTAAGATTGTTAGAGCTATAAATAATATATCCCGACTAGGTTAACAAAAACTTTAGCTTACTTGTTGTCTATTAGTAAGCAGTCTAGATCGATATGAGCAGAGGTAGACAAAAACCGTTTAGTTTTGAGAGGTGTATTTTAAATTAAAACGTTTTTGTGAACTTTCCTGTACGAAGAGCTATTAGTAAACGATTTATTTCTTGTAATTCACTTTTCAGTAAGCAATCCTAACTAAGTCTACACACAATATTCCCAAGTTTATTAACGAATGGAATACCAACCCTCATTATTTGCCTCGAAATTAATTAATTAATTTCCCTTCACTTCCCAATACCCCTGGTATTTTTTTGGGAAAAGCAAAAACGCAAGCCTACGGGTATTTCACAGTCGGTAAGCTATTTGCCATGCATATTTGCAACGCTCCAAAAAGTCCAATAAACGGCAATCACAGCGGCAGCAGAAAATGCTTTTCCATTGCCTTTGGATATGGCAAAAGATTTGCATAAAAAGCACATATGTACTACGTACAGATGGGAACTCAAGTGATGTGTAAGTACACCGCAATTAACATCAAACTCGAGTGGTTTACATGCGATTGTTGTATTGACAAAGTCTCGTTTGTTGTCGGTTCTAGAAATTTGAAATTGAGATCCGATCCGAGCACGCCCCTTGGAGCCTCTGAAAATGTGCCTCGTTTTGTTTCAAGATTCTGACTCTGGGTAACCTTCACACAAGCACCAGACTGGAGTGACGTGTTGACGACTTCTAAACAGACTCACCAAGCTCAGATGATTGCCAAATGACATCAGCACGTCTAACATAGCAAAAATCCGAATAGCCCGACTGTGACTGCGTTTTACGGCTTTCTTCTGGCCCAGCGAAAGCTTTCAAATTGGCCAAAAACGGTGCCTTAATTATGAAAACCTAACGATTCCCTTGATTATCATGTGTGGTTAATCGGTTTTTGGTTTCTGGTTTCTGGTAAACTGAGTGCAACTTTGCACGCTAATAGTGCGGTTTTGAGGGTGGCGGGTTTCACATTTCCCTGCTTGCAATCAATAAGTCAGGTAAAGTGCTGACAAATTGCCCGACAATGCAGCTGCAGAGTGAAAAACAACTTTAATTGATTCCACTGAAAGGCAAATGCTCATGTCGATCGATTAACTCAATTAGCCAATGAGTTTTCTAATGCCCAAGCTATGCAAATGGAGATCTATATACTATGAATAATGATAATACCACTTTAATAGATACTATTTATTATAATTTTTTTATACTCACTTTAACAGTAAGTTTACAAATCGGTAATAGTTATTGATACTATATAAGAACATTTTAAGGGTTAAGAGAAAGTAAGCTTAAGGTTCTTGGTTTTTAAAAGTTAAATTAAAGTATAAATAAAATATCTATTCCTCAATAAATAAAAAATTAGAAGAAATTTCTCACAAGTGTTTCCCCTTAAAAAGAAGATTTATCAGGTCTCTAAATATAAGGATCAACTTTTGTTGACTCTTCTCCAATTGCACTTACCAAGCAGCAACTGATAAAAGGGAACAACACACATGTTCGATAAGGAACCCCCTTCCCCAGACCCAGAGATCTGTGTAAACTGACACCTTTTCAGAACCAGATTGGAACCCATGCGACCTTCACCTGCAACAAGAGAATCCACTCATTCTGAGCCCGTGTCTTTGTTACTGTGCCAAATCGAAAGTGATGCATATACATAGTATGTCTACGAGAGTGCGTTTGTAACAGCCAGTTCTGAAGGTGAGCCTGTCCGAATGGAACGACAATGTTGCACTTGTTAGGCCCCAGACTGGGGCACTTTAAGACTCGGAGGCGACTCGCGACAGCTGTCACAGCTTTAAAGAAATTCCAAAGTGGAAACCCGAGACAGAGCTTTTGTTTTTGTTTACATTGCCTCTGGTTCGATGCTCTCGTTCTGGTTTAAACCTTTGTGCTAATTTCGTAACTACTGACTATCCGAAACTTAGTTCAAGAAACTCCCAGCACTTTGCCATCATTTAAATTGAAATGTGTGAGCTTTAAGCTTGAAATTTCAAAGCGTGGGAGCTGCATAAATGATATACATATGAAGTAAGATCAAGATAAAGTTCGTCAACGTCTTGGAATGACTTGAGTGGGTGGCAAAAAGTGATGATGAAGATGATAATGTGGCTGGGACAATGATAAATAAATAAATTAGCTTTATATGGAAACCAGTTTGAAAGAGTCACAGCACGACTGTGGTTTTTGGTTATTTTAATAATACACTTATAACTTAATATCAGCGAATGTACGGGCACGGAACCCCAATAACTGAAATCTCAAATGCCATTACTCACTTGATTTCCCGGATGGATTCAGAGCACGTCCTCAATCGCTCAGCAGCCCTATCCCAATATGGTCAGAGTGACTGTTCCAAGTCACTTCATATGCATAAGAGAATATATCGAACCCGAGAGGGAGCGGCAAACCTTTCAACTCGCATTATGCACAATAATCTTACATAAATTTTGAGGCCTTATCTATGCGTAGAGCCCGACGGAAAACTGGTAAATTGGTTGGGGTGGAGGGGCATAAATTAACTCGGGAACATGTAAAAATCGAAACGAGTTTATCGCCCCAAGTGAGCCCAACAATTACCCAACAACAAACTTGTTCTATATATCTTGAGAAGTCTGTCGACGTCTATTAAGATTTATAGATTTAGTTGTCGCCTAACATAGATATAGACAAGCGTGTTAGATTAGCTTATCGGGATGTATAAAGACGTCTTCAGGTCGGAGAAAACATTGTTCGGTTAGTCCAGTCGAGTGTGGGTTGAAATGGCAGCTCATTATAGTGACTATCTGATTGCTAATGAGTTTGTTATTATAATAGATTTGGCCTTGGCTGTTTCTAATGAGAAGGGGTTGCAAATTATTGATTGTCATAATTATATTTCTAATATTTTGATTCATTCCCGCTTTTTACGTTCATTTTTTTTAAATATACCCCCATTAAAAAGTTTCTCTCTCAAGACCTTTGATGTGCGAATTTCGAACTTGAAAATTCCGCAACTTGTAAGAGAGATGATGCTCACACACAAAAGATCTTCAATTGCTTTTAATGTTCACTTTCATTTCGCAATTAAGAGGGGCCGAGCAAAAGTTTGGTTCTCGTGTTTTTGGTTTTTAGTCTCGTTTCAACTGCGCAACAAACCGGGAGACATCGCGAATTGAAAGCAAACTTTACTGGCTGAAACGAAAATTTAACGGTAATTAATTGGCTTATTAGGAAAACCAATTCAATCACCCTTACTCTCACTCGGTTTCCCCTTTTTTGCGATTGCGTGAGCCAAGCCCCAAAGCAAAAGCAAAACAGCAATCTAAGTTTAGACGATTTCATCATATTCTCTGAAATTCGTTGTGGACTTTTGCAAATTAGCTAATATGAGCTTAGCCTCAATGGTGAATGTTTGGTTGCTATTTCAGTTTTGTTTGAGCGTCACAGAAGTAGTTATAATCAATAGATAAAACAATCCAACAGATTATGCCGGTTTTTCTTATGTCAACCTGTTATTACAGAACAAAAAATTAAGAGAATAAGATTCTCCTAAGTTAACCTGTCTATAAAGAGGGTTTAAGGTTTTTATTATTATGACAAGGTTGTTATATTTTTTTGTAAGATCAAAACATGTTTTGTGGTTTTACCTAAGAGCCTATGTCTAGTTATAATGAAATATCTCCCACTCTCCCGAACAAGTTGCTTAAAATTCATATCTCACGCTCTGACCTTTTGCAGATCTTCATAGAAACCAACGACAACGAACTTTAAAGGGGCGTAGAAGGGGAACCCAGCGCCAAACTCCAATTGCACCTCTCGGATATCCAACAGCAATTGCAGACTATAATTTTGGGTCTGCCAGCCGCCGCATTTCCATAGGATTTTGGTGGAAACTTGGGACTAACAAAGCGAATTTCAAATGTGAACCAATCATACAATAAAAACGCGAAAAACCGAAAATAGCGTGCATGAAAAAAAGATATTGTGAAAACAACAAAAGAAACATTAGGCAAAACTGTTTCCAAAGCCTTTTTGTATTATTTTTTGAAAGTGCAGTGAAAACGAAATATGATTAATTAGCAATGCGGCAAAATCATTAATGAATATTAAGTAAAACATTTGAAAAAAACACGAGCAAAACGGGAAAAGCTTGCATGTGGAGCAAAATAGAGTTTGGCGCGCTTTCAAACGCCGGCGACTAAAGACGCGTTCGCGTTTTAACTTACCCAACAAGCGGAAGAGTGATAGCCAAACTAAAAGCAAGTTCGTTGCATAAATTTCGCTGGCGGAGTGTGTGGTGTCCATGTGAAAATGGCCACTTCGGATCAGAGCAGAAGGCCCCTGGAGCCGATCTTCATCGCCACCCCGCCGCCCACGCCCCTGCTGCACCTCCACAGCTCCATAACGCGCACCACAACGCCCCGTGAAATGCCCACCATGTACCACTTCGATTTTGGTAAGCCATTCATGAGGCCCTTCAGCCAATTACAACTGTAAACAACCCTAGGGTTAAGAGCTTGTCAATCGATTCTATACACAATCAAAAATTAATTCGATCTTAACAACGACCTTATAGCACTTGCTTACATTTCGAAAGTTAGTTAACAACCAAGATCAAAAAGGGATATATACGAGTATATATTAAGTCGAAACATATATGTTAATGGATCGACATTTTATATAGTCGAAATTTTAGCATGTTTCATATGACATAACTATGATATTGCAGATAATAACCCTTAGGGGTCAGGAAAACTGTTATTCCTTTAATAGTTCCAATGACTTTTCTTCCAATTTTTATATTGTATAAATATGTGCTTTAAATTAAAATTTTTTTTTCCTGTGCAGTTTTGAAAAATGCATACAATATGAATGCAAACAATGTGCGGCTAATTCAAAATACTCAAATATTCATGCCACTTCCGCGCAGGCGCACAAGATCCCCCGAAAAGCACTTGGCATGCAGCCCCAGGCAAAGAAACTCCAGCTGTGTTAGAGGAAGTGTTTAGGAAACCACTTAAGGGCAATAAACCAAGGGGGGAAAAAGGGGGCGATTTGAATTTATAATGAACCCAATGAAGCATGAAGTAACTTTTTATGACCAACTTAGCATGGTATTCAAATTGAAAAGCAGAGAGCAAGCTAAGGCTATTAAATATTTTTATAAAAACCCATAAAATCGTGTAGTGTGAAAGATTTTTAAGGAATTATCCGCCGGATATAGAAAATAATAAAGAACACGTTCATGAATATGTAAAGTACAGAAGTTGAGAAAAATACAGGAAATCAAATTAAAAAGTAACATTAATAATTTTATAGTCAATTTTAAATAAACAAACGGATGTGAAAAAAAAACTTTGAACCACCAGTAAAAACTACACATATAAGCATTTATTTTTCGAGCTCCTTTCAATAAAAGAAACCGCTTCAATAAAACAAAAAACCCAGCTTTCTATCGCCCAAAGGCCCCCAGATGACATCAGTTATTATTGCAAATACTATATAGTATGTTTTGTATTGCAAAAAATAAAACAGAAAACGCACAAAAAGCTTTCAACCAAATCAAACACAGAAAACGTGGAAGGCATTTCAAAAAACTGCAAACAAACACAAAAAACAGAAGCCAAGCAATTGACAACAACAACAACTGACATATCTATGTCAATTTCCATTTGCAGTAAGCAGCTAATGAACCCAAAAACACACAAAATATCAAATAAATTTTAATTAAATTAAAGACAAGCCCAAAACAAGAAACTCAACTAAAGTGGAAACCAAAGTGTCTTTTGCGCAGCAATCAAGAATAATTCAATTAAAGATTGACAGAAGCAAAAAGCTAAGCTCAAGTTATAGCTACTTATAGGCCATATTTATAGGGCAGATAAATATGCCAGCTGCCTGACAGAAATCGGGCGTTGCGACGGATTTCCAATCCGTTTTAGCCATGTCAGTCACGTCTGGCCGCAGATTTGCGTGCCAGTTTTAACAAGTTTCCGATAGTGCTAGCAAATAAGTTCGAAGCACTACGAGTATTCCATTGTCGCCCTGCCAACTGACAGTAATGGCCAGTCTTAATAAATATGGCCTAAACGAGCGCCAGTTGGCGGCATTTGACCCACTTCCCTCTGCCCACTTGAAAATGACTTACCCCTCTCTGAATCCGCTGCTAATCCGCCGAATTTCCTTGACATTGAACCACATTTAGGTGGCACAAGCTGTTTACAAATCTCATACAAACATAGAATTCATTCCAAAGTCAAAATCAACCCAACCAGTTTTGTATTGGCATTTCATACAGAGGTGTTAATTGTGACTCGCAAAAACCTGTTTTCCAAACTCTTTTGCAAGTCACTTTTCTGTTTGGGGTGAGTTCTGCCATTGACAAATTTGTACACTGATGAATTGCAGTTTTCCAATTAAAATACCATTTGAAGTGGCTACAAATCTATGGCCACCATTATTTGCTAACAAACTTTGAAAATAATCCGCTGAAAGCCGGCAAATTCCAAAAAGCTTGATAAAGCTTTAAAATGTAGCTCTCAACAGTGTTGCCGTGCGGAAGGTATACTACTACTATTTTGGTTCTTCGTAGTACAAAGTTTTTGAATTTAGAAAATTAATAAGATTAGTTCATATACTAAATATATTTGTATTATGTTAGAGGATTTATTAAAAGCCTTAGTAATTGTTTTAAAAATATGTAGTTCTAAGCTAAATTGAACTAATATACATAAAATCTAAATATACATAAAAGTTGTACTTTTTCTAAGGTTTTTAACCCTAAAAGTGTATATTATGCCTAATAATAATCTTATATAATCTCTTATTTTATTTTTATGCAAATCGATTATCAAACTTTTCATTTTATTCGCCTTCCACACATGAAATCACTTAACCCTTTCAAATTTTAATTTGATTTGCTGAAATACATTTGGAGCCCAGGCGCCTCCCAAATTGAATTGCTAATCGTTTGGCTTCACCTATCGATCGAATGTGCTCCGAATCCGATTGGAAATTACCTACCTCAATTAACGGCCCAGTTCTCCTCACACTCCCCAATGCAAAACAAAAGTTGGAAAAGCTGAAGACACACAAAATCGAATTGGATACAAACACAAAAGTATTTCACACTTTCTAAAAGGCAATCAGCACTGCCAGCAACAAACAAATCAACTTCAATTTGTTGCAACAACATTCGGAACTCACTGAGTTACAAACAGAACCGAAAACAGAAACAAAAAACAGAGGGAAAATTGTGCAATCTGCAAAATGCGTTCGAGGGAAGCAAACTTAAACTTTGAGAAAAAAACAGAAACATCCAGCGCCAATGAACTGAAATGGTTTCATTAGATGACAGAGGGGCGATAGGAGAACGGGCACCCATGGGCGACTGACGACTGGAAGAAATAGAACTTAATTAGTGGAAAATCGACGGCCCTATGTTGTTGATATGTGAAGTGTGTTCTGGCTGGCAGAGGGAGAAGGAACATAGCTCGATTGGAAAGAGAGGGGCAGGTGAAGATTCAGGGGTCTCGGAAATGTCGCCAAGTGCGCAGTATCGGAAAAGTGCCTAATATACTAGCGCAATATTTATAGCTCTTGGGAGAAAATTCCTGACGAGTAGTAAAACCCATCTGAACTTGGTCCTATTAGAACTTCAAATTTGGTCCATCAATTCAATGCACTCCTATGTGCTCAACACCTTAATATTAAAATAAAGTTGTAAAAAGACTATAACTATAGTTTACCATACTATTGTGGATCTTTTGGAATATACGTAATAGCAAACACCTGAGAGAACTGAAAGACGTTTTGGAATGCAAAATATTATATTATATTATAATTATGATATCACATACCCAAAAAATTAATATAGTTCCTCCTTGAAATCACAAAGAAACTAACATTTGTTGATTAAATAATCTATCTACAATCTAATCTATTTAAACTCCCATATTTGTAGCAGTGCATAGGAAACATAAAATTTTAAGTTCACTTTGAAAATATAGTTTTTCGGTCGTGTCGCCGCCTTGCCCCCAAAACGCCATCCGCACATCATCTAGATTCTAGAACTTTGACTATTTATAAGCACGCGCCCCTTTCGAGCACACGCATTTCCTGAGGGCTTCATGCTGCACCGTGAAAATCGCCAGAGCGAGGTATATGCAACAGCGACCGTATGCAACTGCAACAGAATTTCTATTTTCGTTGGCGCTCTCGAAGCGTGACAATTATAAGAGATTATCCAAGACTCAAAGTCGCGACGCGTGGGCGACCACAAACGATGCCGCCTACACCCCAAAGGAAAACCACCCATATCCCACCCTCTGCACTCCACCTTTCAAGGGAAAGTTGTTGGTTCGATAAACAAGATATAAATATCATAACTAAGGTTGGGTCGAGCCTCAAGTTCATGACTTCTACACATAATTCTCCTTCGCCTTTGGCACGTGCGAAAATCGAACTTTTGGTCTTGTGTCAAGGCAACTTGCATAAGAGAGATCCCCTGCCCGATGACGTCAGCGGATGCTGCAATACATATACACAGATTTATAGCCCCAACAAATGGGGATCGTTTGGCTGAGCGATACTCAAAAGTGCATTCGCATTTCAATTAAAAACAGAAACAGCGAAAAGAGATGGAAAGAAGATACGTATATAGCGAAGTTTATGTAGGCGAAAATCGAATATGGAATGCCCTGCAAAGTAGTGACACACTATAAAGTCTTAAGATCACCCAAGCCTAAGCTTAAATTATAGTCATTTAAGTATTTTTTTCTGACTATGCGATATTAAGTAAGTGCGAGCAAGGCACATCGTTTATACGGACGGACAGACAGACGGACATACGGACATGGCTAGATCGACTCGGCTAGTGATCAAGAATATATATATTTTATGGGGTCGGAAATGCTTTCTTCATAATTTTCGACGAATCTATTATATCCTTTTACTCTACGATCGAGTATAATAATGTATAGGATGTTTTTTAGGTAATAAGAGTACAATTTCTCACTTGAATTGGATGGAATGGAGTCACAATTTGCATAACCTTAACCAAGATCCCACCAAAAACAGATGCAGTTCCTTATGATATTATAGCTGGCTTCATCTTAAGAAACTTGGAAAAAATCAGGCCAGAGCTGATTTATTTTATTGCCATTCAATAACTATTCTTTTGAATATATAACTCTTCTGAAGACATAACATCCAAGTGTTACTTGTTCAACCGATGTATTTGATATTCAATCAAGACCTGGTACATGTTATAGGATAAATAAACAATTAGGTTTTACTTTACAATACACTGTATAACTTTCAAAAGCTTAATTATCGTCTCAAAGAACATTTTCCCGATTAAGAGACCCTCTTTCCAAGGCATGAAATTAAATCCCCACAGCAAACCGATTCCCCCAGCTGTGATGCCCGTGTTTTATTTAGGTTCCACCGAAAGTGTCTCCAACTCTGCGGCCAGCTGTTTATTTATGTGAAGCGCCTGCAACTCGCCGCATGTTGCTGAGGTCGCCAAATGTTGCGTCTACCTTTTTTGGCACACTTATGCAACGGCGGCAGCGGCGGTAAGTGGATGTTGTTCATGCCCCAAAAGTGGACATAATTGCACATGTGTGGGGGCAACACCCAGATTCCCATTCGCCCAGGAAATGGGCTCTCTTTTGAAGTCGCTTAGAGCCAACTGATTGACTGAGGGTGGGGTGAGCGGGCGATATTTCAATTTGGAAACGGGAGTGGGACAGCCGTTCCTTCAGAGACTGAATAGTGCCCAAGTAGTCGAGGGTTCAGCAACATTTGACGTCGCCAGCGGCGGCGGCTTTAAATAAATCAGCCGTAAAGACAGGGGGAACCCGCCAGTAGACAACTGAAATCCGGCGAGAATCGTGGCCTTTGTAGATGGCAGCGTACACCCACACTCGGGCCAAAACTGGAGTGCAACTATTTTTAATGCCATGCAAAAAAGTCGCTCACACGGGCAACATGTTGCTGCGGGAGCTTTGTGTTGCTGGCGGGTGTCTGCCGTTGCCGCCGTTCAGTTGAGCACGAGAAGCCGGCGCGTGAAGTTCCCTCGAAGTTGGAAGTGGTTCGGTGAAATGGATTCATACGTAGCGTATAGAAGTGAATAGATCCGAAATAAATCAGAAATAAATCCGAAATAAACCGCCTCACAATGAGCAAGAAGATGTGGCAAAAGATCTTCAAATCCAAATCGCAGAAGCCGCAGCCTCTGGGAAAAATCAACAAGCGACACAGTCGCATCGTTTATGAGGAGTACCAGCAATTAAACGATCTGCTCGCCGGTGAAAATGGACAGCTCAATTTCAGCAATGAAAAGGAAAATGAGCATGAAAATGGAAATGCGAATGGGCCCGTCTGTGGAAATGGAAATGGCAGCAGCAGCAACAGCAACAGCAACATTAACGTTTTCGAGCAGCAGCCGCTGCAAAGTTCTTTCAACTCGTTGGAGTTTAGTGAGGCGCATCAGCTGCATCAGCTGCAGCAGCCAAAGCAGCAGCAGCAACAGCTGTCAACGTTTTCGCGCGTTCGCAACACATTTTCCCTCAGAAGAAACAGCAAAAAGCTGGCCCATGTTAAGCCAAGTGAGTCGGATGAGGCAGCAGCAGCAATCGAAGATGAAGCATCAGCCACATTAACTAACAATAAGCCAGGCAATCAGCGGCAACGCATCGTAATTGTTGTCAATAAGATCGATGTGGCCACTAACAGTCCGTCTAACCATTTGCATGCCAATCCTACAGCAAAAACAACTGAAACACCAATTAAATCAAGTAATTTTCAATGCTAATTAACAACTAATTTCTGCTAAATGCACCGTTTTCGTTTCCACCCAAATTGCTCTGTGGTGAAAGCTGTGGGGGAAATTCCAGCCAGCTAATCCGCCTGCCTCCCACATCTGCTCCAATTGTCTAATCTCTCCTCCATGGTGACCCCTTGGTTGACTCCTTCTGCTTATCAATTCCCAGCTAGAAAATGATGTCACCTTCGGTTTTCCTCAATGGGACTTAAAAACAAAGCTTTGATTAATCGGTCTAGCTTGGATTGAACTATTTTAGAAATTAATTATAAAAAGAATAATAGGGGTCAAGAATAATTCCTAAGTCCAGAAAAAAAGTCTTATGGTTTTCAAATAAGTTGACCATGAATCATTGGAAATGATTAGCTTATAGTTCATAAGTTTCTGTGACAAATTTTTCAGTTCTAAAAACCTTTTTTTTCTAGCTCTGTGGTTTTTGTTGCTATGTAGCTTAAAATGCGATAAGGAAGAGCTCTTTATTATTATTAAAATGATTTAAAAATGCTAAATTTAAATTGAAAGCGGTCGTAAAGATAAAACTTTAATTACACATAGTTATGTATTATTGTCTGTCTTTTTCAACATCTTTACAAGATGAGCCAAATCTGTGTTAAAAACAGAATTCAAAACTCAAACTGTATTTTTTTGCTTTTAAGTTTTGGTGCTTATACCTATACCTTCTTTTTGGAACACATAAAAACTGAATTCCGAACATAAGCCCAGTTTTTTCCTCCAAGTGCAAACCAGTCTGGTTCCCAGCTTACCCGCTCCAAGGTGCCAGGTCCTCGGTTTTGGTTTCCATGGCCATTCTTCTCGGGTGTCAAAGAGTTGAGAGTTCAAAGCGTAGCCAAGAACCTGAAAGCAGCCTCGTCTGGGAACAGGGAAACTGTTTGTACTACACTTTTAGCATATTGCACACACAACCGCATTTATGGGCCCACTGAAGACTTAAGTGGCTTATGGAGATTGCCCAACCACCAGCCAGTCAGTCGCAGAGACAACAAAATATGGAAATGCCTAAGACTAGACAGCAACTAACAAAATAGAAGGATGGGCTAGGGATTGCGCAGGCAGAACGACCATATTCGACTGGATTTAAAGTGGCATTCATCACTCGCCTCAATGGCTTTCAACTTTTGATCTAGTAAACTCTTGACCATTTGAAGAAATCCCTTGGCTCCATCGCTCGGGATCTGCTAAAGATCCGATCTGAATGGTGGGTAGGGGACCTGCTGTTTTTATTTTTAAATATCTCAAGTGGATGCACATAATGCATGTGCATATATCTCATTCTCATATTCGGAGGAGCATCATTAACGCAAGACAGATGGATAGACAGATAGTACAACTCACCCACTTCTCATCGCTGTGTGGATTGTGTATGTTTGTGAATATTATGCGTAACACACGACTTTGCATTGATTTCAATGGAAATGAGACGACACAGAGGTCTCAAGAAGTTGCGGAAACTCTGCTGCTCATGTCTGTGCGTGTCGCTGATTGATGTAATCGCTTTCTGACTGCCAGTTCGCGGGTGCTAGCTCCCCCATGATAATTGGATTCCTCCGTCTCTGTGATTAAGTAGTGGCCGCCTCCATTGATGCTTCTAATTATCATTCCCCAATGCCCACACAATGTAGCGGGAGATTGGTTTTTGCAGCACAGTTATAGTCAGTCTACTTTTAGCCCCACAATTAATGAGCAGAACGAGCAGAAAAGTACAGTCATCACGATAACTATAGGCAAAGTCCTTATATTTTTGAGCTGGAAGGCGTTACCATAAAAATTTTTAAATTAGCTTCAAATAAGCACACACAATCACATAGAGAATCGCTGAAGTAAAAACAGGTGATCGGCATAAACCCACCGAAACCGAGAGGGTACAATTTCAACACTAGCTTGTGGAATGTTTTTAGTGGCCAATGATTTCTTCATTGTTAATAGCGAATGGGTTAAGAATGACAGTTCCATTCAGTAAAAATTGAATAGGAACTATTGTGGGCCAACTCCTTCCCGCTTTTTTCTAGCGCATGTACTACTTATGGGAAAAAATCGCTGAAGGGAAACCCCCCCCCTGTGTGAACAGACTGTTAGCAACATTATATTTTAATATTAAAAAATAATTTAATTAATAAGCAGAAAGGTTTTTAACTTTCAATATAAGATATATAACGAATATAAAACATCTACAAAAGAGAACCCTTACCAAAATCTACCCAAATATAAATATTTTCAGAATTCTTAAGCAATTAAAGTAAACTAACTAAAATATGAACATTAAGAAAATAGATCAAAAGTACTGCAATCGTGGGCCGACGTTGGCAGAACCACCTGCCATCCAAGAGATACCAGATATTTGATCTTAGAGATACAATTCTAGCCCACGTTTCAAAAACCAAAGAGTTTTGGCGGAGACCAGTTGCTCAAATTGGACATAACTACATTTCATCAGTCTGCGTCGAGGAGATTAAAAACAATTTATAGGCTGATCGCCGAAGACGAACCGAAATAATAGCTATACACATTTGTGGGACTGGGATTGCTCCATTGTCTCTGCGTTTTTGGGGAATTTATTAGTGGGACAGACAATTTGTCGCCTGAAAAAACAATCGACCATGAATCTGCCAAGAAATGTTTTTCACTTGGCTGGCAGCCATTTTCCTCGGGAAAGTGACTGGGATTTTCCTAGTGCCGAACTTTCCCTGCAGAGGCCAAGCCCTTTTACTTTGGACATGGGGTTTACCAAGTTCGCAGTTACACAGAAAGAAACAACAATATTGTTTAAGAATATCATTTAGCAAAAGCTAACTCGCATATTTTTAAATCATCTTTGGAATAAAATTTTTTTTTTCAATTTTTTATAATGCCGTTTTAAACCTGAACCCGGTTTTTACTATGTATGTCCCTAGTATACACTAAAAAAATATTCTCCATTAATTATAAAAATTCGCCCCCTTTTCTAAATTAAGGGTAATTGTGTTAAATTTTTAAATGGTCACTTACATTTGTTTACAAGTTGTAAAAAAGAGGTCGTGATCAAATTTACCCAGCTTTTGATTTAAAAAAAAACGACTCCCAGTTTGCTACTCCTCTCCTTTCCGTTGTTGTTCTGTTAACGTTGGGAAATACTCTATTTTTTACCCCTCACCCCATCTAACAAACATTGCCAAAGTGCTCGTAGCTAACTGAAACCCAGGCGAAACTCGGTTCTCAATATATTCATCTCCATCCTTTTGACACAGCAACAAGCAGCACCACGGATCCCGAGGCGGAAGAACCGATGCGGGGCGCGGAGGATGACCCGCTGCCCCCGCCGCCACTGACCTCCGGCTCGTCCCTTCCGGTGCCGGAGTACGTCCCGGAGCAGGCCAAGCAGCTGACCCCCTGCCCCTGCTGCAGCCGCACCTTCGTCGTAGACGCCCTGCGCAAGCACGTCGTCATCTGCGAGAAGTCCTCCAAGAAGCGCAAGATCTTCGACTCCTCGAGACAACGCCGCGATGGAACCGCTCTGTCCACCTACGTGCTGCCCAAGAACTTTGGCCTCCCCAATGCGGAACGCACTGCGGGATTGCCCTCTCCTCCGACCACGAGTCGCGAGGCAATGACCACATCGGTGAATGCTGCGCCACCAGAGGTGAGTACTTGGCAATACATATGAGTGTAGGTATTCTATAAAGAGTCAACAGCTTTTTAAATATAGATAAGCGTAGGCTCTTCATTGTAGATATAAACCTCTATTAAATTTAAGAACTGGATGGTATCAAAATCTTTTTTATGTAATAAGCATTCTCGATTGCCAAATATTCCAACATGGCAATATTTCAATATCAAGTTTAAAAATCATAAATAAATTAAGCGAGTACATCAATATCAAAGAAATCTATTACAATTATAATTAAGTAAAAACAATATCCTGGAGATATAATCTCACAATATGGTATATATTTCAAAGATAAGTGGGTTTATTTTAGGGTTAGGGTTTTATTATTATTTTATAACAGTCGTAATCTTAATCTGCAAACTAATCTTTAAGAGATAGACTGCTCCAACTTAATTTTTAATCTCAACCCCTTCCAGCCGGTGAACTCACCTCAGCCAGTTCGTCGAAAGTCGCAGTCCGAAATGGTTCGCTCTACTGCCCGCGCCTCTCTGCGCAAGGCGGCCTCCACACTCTCCTCCAACTCGGCGCCAGAGGCTCCAGCTGGGACACCTGCTGCTCCGGCTGCTCCCCTGGTCCGCGAGAGATCGCTGGCCAGGCGGATCAAGGCACCGGCCTGCGATCGCTGTCCCCACTGCGAACGCACCTTCAATCCAAAGGCCTTCGACCGCCACGTGGAGTGGTGCAAGGAGAAGGCCATCCTGAACAACATCAAGTCCACCAATAGCCAGGAGACCAGCAAGGCTAAGGAGCGCCTGGAGGCCAGGAAGCAGTACAAGCCTCCCAATCTGAAGTAAGCCTGGACTCAGTTGACACATTACGATCTTTGTTAATTCACACTCTTGTTTTTTTTCTGGTTCCCATTTTATTTGCTTTTATTTATACAACTTCAATGTTTGACAGGACGAAGAGATCTCTGGCCCGGGACAAGTACTCTGGAAACCACGAGGAGCTCCTGGAGGCGGGAGAGATCGCGGCACCCAAGCCAAGTATGATGTCCCTTTCGATGACCTCGTCCGTTCACAGTGACAAGTGAGTAGAAGGTTCTATCCAGATCTCTGTAGATCCCAAACCTAGATATTTAGTTCTAACCCCCGATGCTCTTCTGGTCGTCGTTGATTAGTTCCGTAATCCCGTAAAGCGTAATCCGTAACCATTTGACAGCCACCTTAGAAACCGTCGTTTAGTTCCAACACACTGTAGTTAGTCCTCCGATCAGCGATCGTCACTCATCCTCCTCGAAATGATCCTCAGCACCCAAACTCAAGTTGCAAGACCCCGAACCTCGGCAGGATCAGGAGGAGGTCGTGGCAAAGCGAACTCATCGGTCACCCAGAACCAGGTGAGCCTGTACCATGAGGACCCCCCATCCTCACCACCTCCAAGGGAACGTGCTTTAGTGCGACCCTCCAAGCGATCCAAGCCAGAATCCTGCAGCGAAATCGACGATTCCATGGAGCGACTTAGGACTGGAGATGCCCACCAGTTGGCCAAGCTCGACTGCGTGGAGGCGCCAGTTCTTCGACCAGCCGGACGCCGCAGGAGCGGATGCAAAGTGGATAAAATCGATGTGGGTGATAGGGAGATCAGCCTGCCCCATCTTCCCCAAGTAACCATGACTTTCGACGAGCTCAATGGGTTGATCAAGCGCAAAGGTATAGGTATTCTGATTTGGGATTAGGAAATCTCTTCGAGACCCCTTCCACTCTTATAAGTGGCATGCAGTCTTCCAATTAACTTGAGACACTGCATCTTGTAAGATCTAAGAACCCGGAACCATTTCATGATCGTTAATTAGTGCGCGCTTTCGGAAGATCAGCGATGCATTAAGTCAAGGCGTTGTTCGGGGCAAGTGCATCTATTTGGATTTTTAATATGTTTATGAGTTTTAGGTAGAGAAGTCAAGGGTATCCAAGTAGAAACATAATTGCTAGGAAGATGGGTTGAAGGACTATTTAAATTAGTTAGTTCTTTAAAAAAAACATAATTATTAAAGAGATTTTTCGTCTTAAGACCTAAAAAGATTAGATCAATCATTCAGATTTAAAAAACTTTTAAGAATTTTTGTATACATAATTGCTGGGTGTAAGACTGAGTAAATGTTAAAATGTAAAAGATCGTAAGAATCTATCCCAATCCACCTAAACAAATCCATTAACAAATCTTTAAAAGTATGTTTTCTATTAGAACTATTCTATAAAAAGATATAAAAAGTAAATTGGACATAGTTTGAATCAGTTCAAAATAAACTTATTCCCCATGAGCAATATAAACCTCCGAATGTTTAGGTTTTCCACTAAGTAAAACTCAGGCTAACCCAAGTCCCCTACATCCCATTCTCCATGCTGCTTTTTTCAAGGCGGCAAGCCCATCTGCAATGTGGTGATGGATGACCAGGAAATCGCTGGTCTGGCCTCCAAACACCGCTCCTCCAAGTCGCTGGTGCAACAGGCACGTCGTCGCATTTGCACCACGGAGAGTCCCAATCTGGAGTTCAGAGCGTTGCAACAGGGTTCTGTGGTGTCCAAGGACGTCCAGTTTGCATCCCTGGACTCCAGTTTGGTGCCCCTGCAGCGAATGCAACGCAAGGTGTACTCTGGATCCGAGGAGGATTCCCCGAGGGCGGAGATCCAGATCAAACTGGAGGCCACAACCATGCGCACAGTGCGCCGACCCACGAAGAGATCAGGTCAGGTTGCCCAAATGATCAGCAACTCTGAACCTATGCGAGCTTTGCCCATGCCAGGATTAAGGCAGAGTCTGGAGGCCATTAATCAGTCCATGGGGCAGACGGTTCTCCCAAAACTAGAGCTGGGTAACAAGAGGGAGGAGTACGAAGCGGCGGAGACAGATGAACCTGATAACTATACCAGTGATCTGGAGGATGAGTATGAAGAGAGGGAGGACCCTATAATGCGAGTTGCCAAGCTGATCGAGCATGCCAAGTCGATGTCCAAGAAGAATACTGAATCGAGGGAGAAAATACAAAATGAAGAAGAGGAGCACGAACGGGAACAGGAGCAGAAGGAGGACGTGGGCGAGGACGAGGACGAGGACGAGGACGAGGAGGAAGAGGAGGAGGAAAAGGAAGAGGAGCGTCCCCTGAAGCTGCCCCCTTTGACCAAACAGAATAGCAACGTCAATCGCCGTCTGGTGCTCCTTGAGCAGGATGAGAATGGCACTATGTATATCAAGTCTGCTCCTAATTCCAAGCGCCATTCGAATAGGTTTGTATACCACATATGAGTCAAGTAATCCCTACCAATCCTCCCCAGACGACAGCCAGACAGAGCACAAATGGGTGGTTTCTTATAAACTAACTTTACAACTATTCTTAAACCATTACAATCTCTTTTTAAACAGCGGCCTGGGGGACAAATACGATCCCTTCCTCTCGGCCAAGCGACAGCTGGAGGAGCTCTGCTCGCCCAGCACGCCGCCGCCGGAGGAGGAGGTGACCGCCACCACCACAACTACAAACACTACCATCAGAACACCAAAAACACCTACACCCAGTATAGCTATGACCACTTCTTTGACCACGTCGACGATTAAGCCAGCGCAGATTGCCCAGAAGACCACGCCGGCCTCCAATTTCCGACGCACTTCATCGCTTAGGGGTCCCCGTCGCACGCCCATGCTAAACAGTCGCCCCCTGTTCGCCACTAACTATCGCCCCACCATTCAAAGGGGTCTCTCCGATGAGGGTCCCATCTCCACCAACTTCCTGAAACCCGAGGAGTTCGACGAGATGCCAGTGAGGGCAGCCTGCGGCAATGATTTCCACAGTCCGCGGGTGGTCCGTCGGGATACGAGTGCCTCCAACCGTAAGCAGCTGCTCAAGCTGCCAGTGGGCTCAGGGAGCAACGAACCGTCATCCCAGGCCGGACGCAATGTGGCCAAGACGGACTCCCTGGCCGTGTTTCTCAAGTACGAACACGAGCTGGAGCAGCTAAATGCCAAGGCGGCGGAGCTGGCAGCCGCTAGTCAGTTGACCAGCAAGGAGCAGAAGGACAAGAGCAACACGCTGAGTAAGCAGAACTCGGCCAAGAGCCTGGGACAGAGCACCCCCACTCAGTTGCCTCCATTGACTCCAACGACGGTGCCGAAATCGCCAAGTGGTGTGGTCAAGGAGGTGGCCAGCTATCCTCCGGTGGCCACTCCCTTGCGACTGGAGCCCATTAGTAGTAAGCCAGTGATGAACATGAATCCTCCAGCTCCTCTCACACCCATAAAGCTGGAGAGCATCTTTGGTCCCAGAAGGGAAACGGCTTTTGGCTCGGGAGGACCAGTTACAACATCACTTCCAGGCGACTACATAGATCCCAAGCTGATAAACGCCTGCGATAATCTGCATGTCAACAGCGGCATATCCTCGGACGCCAGCTCCACGCCCCAGCAGTTGTCCCAGAGCCGCAGCCGGAGCAGCTCCCAGTCCACCATCACCCACGAGCGCAGGCAATCCGGCGAGGCCAGGAACCTGCTGAAGCGCAAGATGCGACTGGGACGCAACCAGTTTCTGTACGACGCTTCCCCCGAAGATGCGGACGCCTCCTCAGGCTGCTCGGCGGACGACGAGGCCAACCGCTCCTCCATGGAGTACGACGAGCAGTGCTGGCAGCAGCAGCAGAAGCAGCTGCTGGCCAATCCGCTGCCGCTGGTCATGCCCATGGTGCACAACGCCATGCCCACCTTCGACGACTTCGACTTCGAGGAGTTCCTCTCCTCATTCGAGAACGAGAATGAGGACGAGCAATTCCCGCTGTTCAAAGACTGTCGCGAGTTCCTCATGAATCGCTCGACGAGCAGACAACGCTCGTTCCAGAAAGCGACTTCGACGCCACAGACGACAGTCACAGCTACACAGCTCAACGCACAGCCACACGGTCTCCAGTCCAAGATTAAAGACAATCACCACGCCCACAGGTCTCAACAGGATCCCAAGATGCCCGAAGAGCGACTGCAGCGGCAGCAGTCGAATGCCTCGAGGGTCAGCAGCCAGGAGGAGAAGCAGAGCCGCCTGGTGTTGGAGAAGCGGGCAGCCGCCGAGGAGCACCAGCAGAAGCGGGAGATCTTCATCAGCATCGAGACGGAGACCAATGCCCAGGGCCGCTCGCCCATTTCGCCCGAGTCATTGCGCCACATGGTCGGCAACGCCCAGACGCCCATCGATGTGCTGCACATTGAGAACGGAAACGAGCCGGAGCACGCCAGGTTCAGCAAGATCAGCGACACGGAGGATGCCGGCGACGAGCCCGGGGATCGGGCCAGCCAGGCCACCAATCGACTGGCCCCATCCTCGAGCGGCTCCGCTTTGGCGCCTAACGTGCAGCTGAACAATGCCAAGAACCTGATTCAGCAGATGCAAAGCGATTTCCGGCAGATGGGCGAGGAGGCCAGTGTCTCCATGCGGCGCATGCTCATTGTGGGCAACAATGGCGGACGAGGAGGCGAGGAGCTCAGGGATGCAAACCCAGGGGGTCCGGGTCAGGGTCAGGGTCAGCAGCAGCATCATCAGGTTAAGGCCAACTCTCCACTGACGCCGTCGCCCTCGGCGGACTCGGATGAGCTGAGCAGTCTGGATGGCTATCCCATGTCCTCGTCGCACGGTTCCCGTCGCGGAGCAAGCTCCAAGCTAAGCTCGGATTCGGCATATGGAAGGTAGGGTCATCTAGTAAAAAAAAACATAATATGTTAATATATTGCCTCTTAAAATACCAATTGCAGTAGCAACTCACCCTATAGCTTGTCGCGACAGCGCTCCACGGAACTTCATACGGGGTCACCTCGTGGCCAGGGACTCCTGCGTCCGCATACGGCCAGTGCCAAGCTGTCCGGCTGTATGATGGATGCCTCCACGCAGGCCCAAACCGACTATGGAACCCTAAAGGCTCGCCAGCGGCTCTTTGCCCCAGACTTTGGGAACAACAATGGGGCAGGTTCCGAGTCCTGCAGCAGTGGATCCGACCACTCCTTTGCGGCGCAGCCGAATCCGCAACAGCAGCAGGAGACCTCCAACTACAACTACAAGCAGCAGCAGCAACAGGAGACCAGCAACTACAAATACCAGCAGCAGCAGGAGCAGGAGCAGGCCCAATCCCCACCAGCTTACAACAACAACAACGACAACAACAACAGTGTATCGATGACACCCACCACATCTGAGCACTCCCTGATGAGCAACTCATCCACGAGCACAAGTAAAAAGATGTCGAATTTCTGCTATGCATGTGGCTCAAAGTTCATCATTAAGAGCGCCAACTATTGCATGGACTGCGGTGTTAAGCGGGTGAAACTGTAGATTAACTCCACGTAGCCGTTGTTTTTCAGTAACTCACACCTCTCACAAATCACAGAAATCCTCGAAATCGGAACACGGAACACTTTAACCCGGGAGAAACTCGCCCCCAAGACGAAGACGACTGCCTGGATCGATCTTAAGGGGTCTAAAATATATACCAAATGTAGTTGTTAAACGCAGCAGTTTACTGATATCGTTAACTCCGCTTACAAACAGAAAAATAATATATTTTTAATACGAATCTAAACATGCAAAACAAAGGTTTTATGTCGAACAAACTTTAATTAATCGAACTAAACTTGGCATTTCTCTCGTAAACATATTTTCTCAACTTCGATTGCTTAAAAAAAACGAAAAAGCGAACAAAAAACGCAACTCAACGTAAACAAATAAACACTTTAACAAAGTTGTTGATTAACAAAGACTGAACGAATTTAAACGGTAGAGCGTTGAAAAAAAAAATATATATGGATTATGTAACGTGACAAGAGCGATTCTATTTTTAAACATTTTTCAAAAACCTAACGCAGCAACTCCATTGTATTTGTATTTTGTAATCGTTTTACTAATTATATAGACACTTCTTAAATATATATATATAATACGATAATGCGCATTCACATCGATTTGGTTGATTAAAAAACTTGGTTTAAAACGTCGAAGTTGTCTAACATTCATGAGAACTCATACGTTGGATTTGGTTAGTCCATTTCTTACACAAAACTTATATGACATTGTTTTCTCTTTTCATTTTCAGGCCATTAAATGAAATATCTTCGGTATTCTTCTTCGAAACGCAGTCTTTGACTGCATTAACCGATTTTTGTTAGCAGAAACTTATATTATAAAAAAATACAAAAACTTCTGTTTCACAGAGGCAAAGGCTTAGAAATTAAGAGCTTTCTGAGCAGGCATGTTTCACTACTTCTCTTCTAGAGGATAATATCAGGGGCATGCAATGCCACTACTTTGAACTTTTCGGAGTCTGTCTTAACCTAATCTTAATCTACGGCTTATACGGAAGCCCAAACTCACATGTTCTGCAGTTTCAGTTTGGAGTGGACATCGATCCTGTCCGATTTCTTTATGGATAACTGAGCCAGTTGCTTGCTTAAAGCTGTAAGATCATCCTGGGCTTTGGACAAGGGCGTTTCCTCTTCGTCCATAGTCACACTTATGTCTTTTGGCATCCTGGCATACCAAGGTGTCAGCTCATCGTCTTCATACTCACTGCTCGAGTCCTCGTCGGAAGTATCTTCATCGATATCGGGCAGGAATTGCGGTCTCTGCTGGGAAGCCTTCTTCTTGAAGACATATGTGCCTTGATTCTTGCACTCCTTGATAATTTTCTTGAAGTCTCTGTGATGACGCAGGGTGACCGGATTTCCGACCAGGATCAGCAGGGCCTTGGCCCTGGATAGGAGAACATTCACCCGGCGAGGATTGCGCATGAATCCCATGTTGGCGAAGGATCTCACCAGACTGGCAATAATGATGGGCTTCTCGCGGCCCTGGTAGGTCTCCACGCTGCCCACCTCCACGTTGGGGTGTCCCTGGCTTTGGAGTAGCTGGGTGATCAGTTTACCCTGAGCCGTATACGGCGCAACTATGCCGATGTCCTCCTGCATGACTGTCCTTCCCTTTCCCAGGCCATCGTTTATCAGTCGCTTTACATACCAGCAGAGCACCTGAGCCTCCAGCTGGTTGTATGAACTAGTGGAGTGCTGCTCCCTTTTGGTCACTCCATGCGTGGCCTGAAAGATGATCGGGAACTGGGGATTGGGCAGAAGGCTCCAGTTGGCCGCCAGGTTCACATCCGCAGCAGGTGCCCGAGGAATTAGCTCGCCGTTATAGTACAGCTCGTTGAACACGCGGACAATCTCCGGATGGGATCGATAGTTTCGACGCAGACGCGTCTGCAGAGTGCGATCGTAGTTTCCGTTCTCATCTAACTTGTAGCAATCGGAACGGAGCAGTCGCTCCATGAGAGAGTGACTCAATCCCAGAGATGCAGCCCGATTGCTCTTGATTACGGCTCCCAGCTGCTTGTGATCTCCGGACAGGATGACGTGACAATCCGCCGTCTGCTTGACCCCCATAATTCCGATCAAAGCCTCCGGTTCGGTGGCAGCGCCCGCCTCGTCGATGAAGATGTGGCTGAAGAAGTTGTGCTTGCCGAGATTGTCGGTGACCAAGCGTCCCACGGTGCAGAGAGTGGCCACAGTGATGCCGTATTCGAGTATATGCGAAACTCCAAGGTGATCGTAGATATTCTTCGAGCAGTTGGAATTCTTCAACAGCAGTGCCGGCACGGATTTCAGTCCCTTGTGGTGAATGGAGCGCGAGAAGAGGCGAATCAACTGGTGCTTCGCATCCGGCATCACCTGCAGGGCGAAATGCTCACGGAGACGGGCATTGCAGTGGATATACTCGCACAGCTTCAGGGCGATCGTGTCGCAGGCCGAGTTCGAACCGGCGGTTACGAGGATGCGGCTTCGCGGTTGTTGAAGGCGCAGCTGTAGAATGGCCTCCACAATGGTAGTGGTTTTGCCAGTGCCTATAAAGTTAAGTAGTGTTATGAATTGTATATAGACTTAAAAGAAATTGTTGTAAAATCTTGTTTAACCGCAACATTACGCTCTGAATCTAAATGGGACTTTTAAACCGATGACAATTCTGTATCATTATATTTGAAACAACATATGCCTTCCATGGAAAAACTTGCAAAGCTGTGTATAACATATGCCATTTAAACGATAAGGTTTTTTTAATGCACAGAAAGCAATCCCATTAATAATGTTTTAAAGTACATTTAGCTTTTTTTCATAGAAGGGTGAGATAACATTTTTTGCCCTTCAACAAAGCGTTCAAACTTTGATATTTCTCGCGCTCTGTTTATTCAAAATAATATGCAATTTTAACACAATCGAAATCGATACCAAAATTATATTGTAAGCGAGATCTGCATATATACACATTGTGCATTTCACATACATATTTGATTTTGAAATAGTTCTCTGCTTCAAGGTACTAAGTGTAAGTACATACACTGTTTGCCGGGACTCATTTCTGCAAATTCAGCACAGACTGTCATCAGAGACATTGCTACGATGACCAATACAAACATGTATGCATTTCTGGGTTTTGCATATGAATACATACTTACTAGAGAGAACCTTTAGGTTCGCTTACAATGTCAATGTCTTGTAGACTGATTTGGTATTATAACTTTTGATTGATTCCTACCTGGTGGTCCGAACAAGATGTAGGGTCCCTGAGGACTTGGTCCCGCGACAATTCTCTGCACTGCCTGCAGCTGTTCCATGTTTGAATTGATGGTCGGGTTCAGCAGGACGATGGCAGACGAAGGAGCAGGCTGTGGTGGTGGGTTAACCCGCATCCATCTGGGCAGGACCGCGCAGTCGCGCATCTGAATCCTCGACTGGTCCACCATCTGGGTCAACCAGCTGGGGAACGGATAGAGGTAGCGGCGAATCAAGGGGCTCTCCTGGAGCAGCTTAAGGGCGCGAAACATGTAGCGCATCGGAGTGCGTCTGGATCGGATAATAACATAGAAGCGCTGGCCGAGCAAGTCCTCTTCCTTGGGGCAGTTTCCACGGTTGAAGCGGATGTGGACGTTGGTGCGGCTGATCGCCTCCACGCCGGCCACATGGCGGCGCATGGGATCCTTCGACTCGAGGCCCTCGTGGGGATGGGGCAGCAGGGCTAGCAGCAGCTGCTTGGGCAGTGGCGAGGCGGCCAGGCTGGACTTGGGCACCAGCACCACTTCGTCCAGGTTGATGGCCACCACATCCTCTGGATTCACGCCCGTGGTGCTGAGGGCAATCTTGTATCTGAGTTTGGACACGCGCTGCACTGCCACATCTTTCTGGATCAGTTGGGCGTACAGCTGCATGGTGGACAGATCCTCAATGGTGAGCAGGGTTTGCATCACGGAGCACACGTTGTAAAACTCCAAGCGTTTGGTGGCCAAATACTCGGCGAACACGGCATTCGTGGCGGTCAAATCCTTGTCGGTAAAGTCGGTGGTCAGAGCGTCCAGCATTTCGGCACTGGGCGGATAATGCGGCAAATTGCGCATCAGTGATAGGAGTCTGGAGGGGATTGGCGTGAGATTAGGTGTCTTATACTGTTCCAAGAAACTCACCTTTTCTCCTTCTCCAGGGGGTCATATTTATTAATCAAGTCAATTTCCTGCGCTTTTGGCCCCAAAGTGAACGTGGTCTCCTTCTTTTTTAGCCAATTCGCTGCATTGCAGGCTAAATACGATAGCTGGCGATCCAACTATAAAAGCAATGTTTAGAACCTGCTAGTAACTTATAGCTAGCCAAAACCACTTACCAGCTCCAAATTCTCTGGTCCGTGCATTGTTATGTTGCTAAAAGTAGTTTATTCGCTTTAAATCACATAAATTGAAACAAAAATGAAGAAAGCCGCGCAGCTTTTCGGGGAAAACAACAAAAAGATTTAAAGTTCCGTTGGTTTGGCTAGTGAAGGACCAATCGTGTTTAAGCTTGCGCGCTTAGCATCGATAATTGATCTGTAATGATCGATTTGTATATCGATAGTTAACCTGCTGGGCAGCATTGTCCATGTGGAACCAGCTCGCAACACTACTTTTGGGCCATCTCTAATTCAAAGATTTGTTTACAAAAAGAAATCGATATCAGGTGGTGAAGAAATGGAAGACTCCGACTCAAATGAGGTCCTGATCGAGGAAATAGACAGCAACGACGTGCCGGAGAACGAGCTGGAGCAGTTTCAGGAAACGGAGCCGCTGCGCGTGGTGGACATAATCGACTGCGACGCCGATGGCGAGCGCAGGAGCTTCGAGGAGGAAGAGGAGGAAGGAGCTCTAATCAAGCGCTATGTGCAGGGCGTCCAGTGCCTGGAGTTCCCCGACTTTTGCACCAAGCTGGAGGCCAGCGACGAGGAGGAGGAGGAGCCTCTGGAAACAGCACCGGCCTCCAGCAGCGTGGAGCAGCCCAGCACTTCAGCTCAAGCTAAGGCCCCGCAGGAGCAGTCCTCGGGAAGTGGTCGTTCCGGCGGCGGTGGCTTCCGGAAGAGTCAGCTGAGCACCGCCCTGCAGGGACTGATGGGCGAGGCCAACCTGAGCTTCGTCTACGGACGCTTTGAGACCGCCGAACGCATCTGCATGGAGATCATCCGGCAGAATCCGCTGGCCAGCGAACCCTTTTACACCCTGGCCGAGATCTATGAGAACCGCGACGAGGTCAAGTTCCTTAACTTCTCAACGCTGGCCGCCCACTTGAATCCCCAGGATCGGGACATGTGGATACGGGTCTCCGACCTCCTCGTGCAGCAGGGCAACCTGGCCCGTGCCCGCCTCATCTACACGAAGGCCATCAAGATGCTGCCCAAGGTGTATCAACTGCGGCTGCGAAAAGCGCAGTTGCTGCAGAAAATGGGAGAGACCAACGCTTCGATGTTTACGTACTTGAAGATGCTGCCCCTGATGCCGCCGGACGAGTGGAAGATGTGCCTGAACACGGCCAAGAACGTGGCCCGCTACTTCCATGTCCTCGAGAAGCACACACTGGCCCTGGAGGCCATGGAGGGGGCGTACAGCGTTTGCGGAGGGCGCTTCACGCTGGAGGACATTAACATCTACCTGGAACTGCTGATCCTGAACAAGCAGTATGCCAAGGTTTTGCGCTGCCTGCGGGAGCGCACCAACTTTGAGCTTGAAAACGACCAGGAGGAGAGTCTGGAACTGATTTACTTCTGCGAGATCCCGGATGACTATGTGCCCGAGTTACGGGCGAAGCTGTGCGTTAGCCTTATCCACATGCGGGCGCATCACCTGCTGGGCTACATCATACAGAATGTACAGGAGCACATCACTCTGACGGCGGACAGAGTAGAGCTGTACATGGACATCACGGAGGCTCTGATGCAGGAGCACAAGTACGCCGAGGCCATTGCGCTGATGAGTCCAATCACCGATGGCGACACCGTCGAGTGCCCTGCCTTTGTGTGGCTGCGGCAGGCCGAGTGCCTCCGCCAGTTAAACCGCACCAACGAGGCCATCCAGAGCTACGAGAAGGTAGTGCAACTGGCGCCCTTCTGCTACGACGCACGGTTCACCCTCTCCGCACTGCTGAAGCAGCAGGGCAGGCACGAGGAGGCCGTTCAGGCACTGGAGCAGCCAGGCGAAGCTGAGGGCCAGCCTCTGATTGCCCGCCTATTGTACGAGAGGTGTGTGATGCTGCAGCAGATCGGAAGAATCGAGGAGTTCCTGGACGTGGGCTATGCCTTGCTCAGCCGGCACTCAATCAAGCTGTACAACCGCGAGGAAATGATGGCGGCCGCAAATGGAGGCAGTGCCTACAATTCTGAGAGCCTCAAAACCATCATCCAGATGCGCAGCAAGGCGGTAGATAACTCCGCGGAGCAGGATCTGCAGGTGAGTAGTGCTCAAGGGAGTAATAAAACCAACTTGATACATTTCCTTAAAGGATCCTGCCAAGAATGCCGCCACTGAGACCTCCGATCTGACCGTCAAGGATGAGTTTAACCTCTTCCAGGAGCTGGTGCGTACGGCTTTTAAGCATGGAATGCACAGCGCCGCCGAGAAGATCTGCTTTGCCATGGTGACCACAAAAAGGTTTACATACTACCACCACGAGATCGAGAGGATTATGGTGCTGACCTGCTACTACAACGATGACTGTGCCATAGCGTTTTCGTATCTGCGCGAGCTTATCGCCAAGCAGCCCAGCCAGACTACTTTGTGGAACATGCTATCGCTGATGATTCAAAAGGGAGACGAGGTTCGCTACTATCGCTACATGCGCCGCCTGATGCAACGCCATCCGGTGGATACCAAACCGATGCGAATCTTCCAGGGCCACTATCACCTGAACTGCGCCTCCTTCAAGTACGCCCTGAACATCTACATTCCCATTCTGCGCGAGAATCCCGATGCACTGGTGGCCCTCTGCATAGCCGTGGCCTTTAACCAACTGTCGCTGCAGAAGAAGGTGCTCCGCAAGTCGGCCTCTGTGGCCCAGGCCGTGGCCTTTGCCCAGCGCTACAAGGAGCTACGATCCGCGGGCCATGAGTTCGGGGACTGCGCCGCCCAGCAGGAGATCTTCTACAACATCGGACGTATCTACCACCAGGCCAACATCCTGCACCTGGCTGTGGAGTACTATGAAAGGGCTCTGGCCGTGCCTCTTCATCCGCTGATTGCAGAGCACGAGTCCACTCTGGGTCTGCAGCACGAGGTGGCCTTCAACCTTCACCTCATATACCGAGCCCATGGGAACAAATGGAAGGCCCGCCAGTACCTGATGCGTTACTGCGTGGTCTAATCTGAGTATATGTTTAACTATCCTAAGTAATATCTTTCAGTGGTGTAAATAGCTTTGTATTCATAAGCACTTTTTATATAAAAGGACATTTCATTTCTTATGACTATTGACGATTTTCAGATAGGTATTTTGTTATTACTAAGCATCGAACTAAAACGAATGTTCTTAAAACTCATAGTAACTAATGAAGAACGTTCTCGAAAACGATATAAATCATTTGTCGAAAGTGTATATAAAACTTCAAATCTTTAACACTTTTACCTCTGTTTTTGCAAGGAAGATCCCATTTTTGTTATTTAAATTAAGGAAGAACTTTAATTTGACTTCACAACTTGTTGCTTTCTTTGTGACTGAACTATGGCAAACGCTACGGGTAGCAGTTATACCGATACGGGAACAATAAAGGGGAATTCCAGTTCTACACTGTCTTATCAATTATAAATTTGCTTCTATAGAGAAAATGTAGCTAGCGAAATTTACGTATACTTATTTGTAGATTTCCTGCGAATTTCTCAACAAATTCATATGTGCTAGAGTGGGCATGGCAAACTCCTTTTGGGTCAATCGATAGGTATTGACGAGACAAACACATTTCAATTGTGGGCGCCACAGGTTTGGGCAGTTTGTGGGGGTTGGAGTAGGCATGGCACACTGACGAAGCAAACCTGCGCTGTGCTGGAATCTCTAGAATCTGCATGCCTAATCCCAGTATTGCAGCTCTTATAGTTTCCGAGATCACAGCGTTCATACGGACATGGCTAGATCGACTCGGCTAGTGAACCTGATCAAGAATATAAAAAAAATTCAAAATCTTATACTTCAGCCAAGAAACTAGGAACTTTGAAGACCATTGCGCGAAATAATATTAGAATAAGGAATGCCATACACCGTTATTAAATTCCCTATCGATTGGAATTAAAAACAGCAAGCTCTAATTTTTTACCATTTTTTGCAAAAAGAAACATAAACATATTTTATGCCTACATCTAGGCGCCTTAGGAATTTAAAATGGTCTAATTTTCCTGACGAAATTGATCTGCACTTGCGGGTTGAACGGCTAATTTCTTGCTCTTTGACACCAGGGCATCATAATCCGTAGCAGGTGTCTGCTGGGCGCTAACATTTACTTACTGGAAGGCAACCGTTAGTTTAGTATAAGCAGACTAGAGGTGGGCAATCGCTTGATCGGCAACAAAGCCCCCACATATTTTGATGTGACCCACCTCTAGATAGGCCTTAAAAACTAATTGTTGGCCACCTACTAACTTTCCTGCTCACCTGGTGTTTGAAATTTAAAAATCGCCAATTTACTTTAATAAATTAAAAGGATTGTACCATTTTTTCAGTCAAAATTTTGGATTTATGGCTCTCAGACACCAGGCAAACAGAAAACTTAGCAAGTGAAAGCAGGTAGCTAAAGTTGAACTCAAATAACTGTTCATTTTCAAAATGGCGGCCCTTTCCACATTTCCCCTTCCCCTACTGACCAATAGGAATCTATCAACATTGGAAACAACCGTTAGTCGAGATCAAAGCGCTGACTAGAGATGCTCTACTATGACCGTGTCACGAGCTTGTCACGATATGCACGAAATAAAAGTGAAATCCTGTGCATTTGCATAGGCCGTGCCAAAAGTAAGCAGTCACGAGGTCATCTCCAAGTGAGTTCTGATTTAACTGATCAGCTGATCGCTTCTACACCTGCTAAACATTTATGTTCGCCTGGTGTCTGAAAATTGGTGGTTAAAAAAACCTATTGTGATCAAAACTTTATTTATAAAAATTTTCTTTAAGATTTCAGAAGGAGTTTAATTTTGAAGAAGTGGTAAACAGAGGATAAAAATTCGATTCCTGCCTAGCAAGCCGGCATGGAGCAGGGACGCGACTTGGTCAGGCGCTTGGAGCACGGCTGTCCGCCATTCTGGGGCTCGCTGACCACGTGGCGACGGCTTTCGGAGGACCCGACTCCACAACTAACACTGCACGAGGACCAGGGGGACCAATCTGACAGAACGCACCCCTTGGGTTGCTCAGTTTTTGGTGAATACCCCAATCTGACCGCATTGCAGGTGTTTAGGCAGTCGTTCTCCGTGAGGAAGTTGTTCCGGTTGCCACGACATCCTCCGTAGGTGAAGGCGCTACAGCGCTCGCTCTGCGGATCGTAGGCATATCGCATGTAGGTGCCCCTGCATGGACCCACATCTGGAGGCTGGACGCAGATGGTCTTGGCCTGCTCCGCGTTGATGTGGCAGTCCGTGGGATTGACGCACTCCCTCTGCTGGTGCAGCTCGAGGCGTCGCGTGCAGCTGTCCTTATCGGCTCCATCCTCCAGCAGGACCACACGTGTGCGGATAGTCACTCCGCGTCCGCAGGTCGAGGTGCAGGGACTCCAGTCGCTCCACTGGGTGGTGGGGCAGTTCGGATCCGGCAGCTCCACCTCCTCGAACTTGCACTCCGGCCGCATGCACTTGTTCTTCTCCACCACGGTGATGTGGGGGCATCGCTTGCGTCCCAAGTGGTTGACAAAGGTGCGCGTCCGCATGGTGATCCCGATGCCGCAGCTGGCCGAGCACTCTGACCACACGCTCCACGGCGACGTCTTGCATAAGCCGGCTCCCTCGCCATTGTCGCCCACCAGGGACTGCGAGTTGGCCAGGTTCTCGCCCTCGTCGTCGTCGCGATCTCTTGGCTGGGAAGAGCCACCTCCACTAGGACACTCGGGTATGGAGGCCACGCACATTTCCTTGGACACCAGTTGGCGGACGCACTTGCTCTTATCCGCTGCAGCGGGATACAAGTACTGTCGGCTGCGCATGCGGATTCCCTTGCCGCAGCTCACGGAGCAGGGACTCCAGGCGGAGTAGTCACTCACCCGGCATTCGGCTGGAAAAGGATTACATTGTTTATTATAAGAAAATTTTAGGCCATGTTCCCCTGAAGAATTCGTTGTTTCATTTATGTTTGAGGCGCGAATTCTTTAGATGCGAATGGTACATGGTAACAAGACATAAAACTGCGAATTCTTCAGAACAGGATATCGAAAATTTTAAACTACAAATTATGATTTACACTATCTTATATGTTTTGAATCATTCGAGTCATACTGTGAATGAAAATGATTCGAAACTTTAAATGTGTCGCACACTGTTCATTCATCCAGGGATACACTTTATAAGTTATCCCAACCCACCTCTGGTGTCCTGCTCCTCGGCATCATCGGACACCTCCAACTGGAGGGCCTGCAGGAACTCATCATCGCAGTTCCTGGAGACAATCTTCTCACGTCGCAGGTACAACTTGGCCAGGGGAGTCATCTGGCGGCTCTGGGGATTGTAAAAGGGAGACCTGGGATCCTCGGGATACATGGTGGTGATGCGGTACATTCGCTCCGGCGGCTGTGTCTCCGAGTTGGGTGACTGACGTAAAAGATCCATTAAATATTTGAAATGTATAGAAGTATTTCATTTAAACGTTACCATGTAGGAAATGCCACTATCGGTGCCTGCATCCCAGGGATAAAGATCAATGACCAGTGACTCCTTCCAGCTGCAATCCTCGGTGCAGAGATCCAGTCCACTTATGCCCACAACCCAATCCGGGGAGGGTCCAAACATGGACGCCAACGATACCTTGGGATGCTTGCGATCCACACGGAACTTGGCGGAGGTGTTCTGGTTGACATGGGGGTACCACAATCCGGCTGCCTTGATCAGGGTGCGCAATTTGGGCCCATTTCCGCGCAGCTCCGTTTCCAGAGCAGTCGGAGAACCCCACTCCGCCAGAGAGCGGAATCCCGCGGTGGCTATGTGGTTCTCACCCCAGAAGGAGAAATTCGACTCGTGCGAGGCGCCAATGACATCGGAAAAGTGCGTCAACCAGATGGCGAAGGGATAGTCCTTGGGATGGGTTTCATTCGACCAGATGCCCTCGAAAACAAACTGGAAATTGGAGATGAAATCTTGAAGTCTTGGGGATTTATAAGCTCTTCCCCCAACTTACGCTATATTTGGCCTCATCGCAGGCGCAGCATTCCTTTTGTGCAGCAACTGCATCCGGTTTTCGCTCACAGATCACGGTGGATAGGCTACCATCGTCCGCGAACCAGGCCCTGGGACCCTCGTAGACCATCGCAGACAGGGACACACAGCCGGAACCCGCCTCCGGAGCCACCCACATGACCTGCACCTCCGTTTTGGGCAGATCATCCGCCTCGGAAACAGTATTCACACATCGGTCGTTGAACTGGGTCAGGGAGTCGCTAAACAGCTGGAAGCGACCCACTCTCCTCGGACTGGCCGCCTGGGGACGACGTGCTCCGGTGTGGGCCTCCGCGGCGATGGTGAAGTGGGTGAAATGCTGGATTTTCGTATGAGTTCTGGATCCAAGTAGTAGCACTGCAAAAACATTTAAAATTCAAATTTAAAATTTCGATAAGAACAAAACACTAGTCGATTACAAAGTCCAGCTCTATACTCAACACTATAGTCGTCTCGCTCCCGCTGCTGTTTTTTGAGACAACACGCAATTGCGCGCGAATTAAAAATTATTTATAAGTTCGAGTGGCATATAAGACTGAATTGGAAACAAAAGATATTTAACTGATCAACAGATTAATGACGGAATCCACATATGATATCTGCATCCTGTTTCCTATTAAACGCAATCTGATCGAAGATGCCAATCACTAAATTTGTACCTGCCAAGGACATACTTTAGTCAGACACAACTTTCATACCATTCAAAGAGCAACTATTTTAAAGAGAAGATGCAAAATTAACCAGTGAAGCACAAATCAACTTGTAAATAATTATTTTTTTAAATAGTTTGATTCAACGTAGAAATGTAATTCGTTAATCTGCCACCGTCCAACCACGCTGTTCGGGAAGTATCCCGATATATATCGTACTTGGTCCTGCGAACATCCCATCACTATCAAGAAACATTGCTAAACCAAAACCAAACAAAAATTTCTTAAATTCGTTGTTATAATATTCGTTTTGTTTTAAATAATGTCGTCCTTTCTGGACATGCTGTCGGGCAGCGGGGAAGTGGACCTGAAGAAGTGCGGCGACGTGGTGGTCTCGCCCTGCGATAATATGATCGCGCTTTACTGCCACTTCTGCCGGGACATTTTCACCCAGTTGCCGGAGTTCCTGAGACACCTCCAGTGGGCGCACGCCGATGCGCTGCACTTCACCAAGGAGCACAACGTGTACAGCGTGGAGGAGCTGATGTCCGATGAGCTGGAAGACCAGGAGGATGCCCAGTCGGCGGGAAACAGCAGCAGCAGCGGGGACTCCGGGGTGCAGGCAGAATCGGAGGAGCCAGTGGCCCCCAAGAATTACCAGGATGACCCACAAGATACCATAGAAAAACGTAAGCAACTAGATGCATTTCCTTTATACATGGGTGTCATTTTAAATCCAAATCTCATGTTCCACAGTGAAACCTATATATAAATCCGATCAAGGAAAGGTTCTGCCAGATGAAAATGACTTCAGAGAGAAGGAACCAAAGGTTCAGGGCCGGGGATTCAATGGACCTCGCAAGGCTGAAAATAAGGGAAAATCCCTGAAGATATGCGAACTAAAAAGTCACGCTATAGCCAAGAAATCGAGGAAACACATGAGCGTCGTGAAGAGCCGCATACTACAAGTCATTAAAAGCGACTTGCCTGCAAACCTTCAGATGAAACCACCAAACACCAAATGCAGTCTTCCCATAACTGAACCTATACAGGAAGACAACATACCCACACATAGCTTTCAAACACCTCCTAAACCTGTGCCGACCCCATCTAGTTTGAGTGTGAGGAAGTCTACTTTAACTAAGGCACAAGACTGTGTGGTGAAGAAACCACTGAACATGAAACCAAAGCCCATTTCAACTGGTCAAGAAAAAGAAATGCTTGAAATCTCCAAATCTGCTAGCCAAAGTCAACTGGTTAAAAAAAGAAAATCATCCCCCTTACAAATACGGCATGTCGAAGTTTTTCCACCTCTTAATTTAGTTCCTACGGCGCTAATTAAACCAAAAGAACCTATTAAAGACTTTTCAAACCTTCCACCTCTTCATAAACATGCAAAGACGTTGATTAAACCAGAAAATGCTATTGAAAACAGTTCAAACATTTCAGCCTTGGTCAAAAAGGTTTCCAACCCACATCAGCCTAACAAACCGTCGCTGAAAAGAGTTTTCGGAGAAAATAACCAAGACACAAGTCAAAGTCTTACAGGGCGCGAACTGAATTCAAGTATTGCCCAAAATCCATTAAAAGCCAATACTAAAAAGTTTAATAAGCTCAGTGCCAAATTGGAGCAGGAAAACCTACTAAGACCTTCTACCGACAATACTGTATGTTCTGTTTCTGAGAAGAATAATACGAAATTTAGAACACTTGTGCTGGGAAATAAGAATGTACTAAAAAAGGAGCAGACCAGTCCCACAAAAACTGCACGTTTGGCAACTCCCTCAACAGAAATTTTGAAAAAAGTTGGGGTGAGCGAATAATTGCAAACATTGCACGACTTACATCTAATAACTTAAAACTTTTTAGTTGCCAGCAATCATAGATAGCACCTATGAGGACACAAAAGCGTTGGACGAGTTGGTGAACTTGCGCGAAAATGCTGCCCAGTTTAGCAAAATCTACAGAAAGTACGACTCCATTTGGAACTATAGAAATATAAACCCGCCAGTCAAACATGAATTCATTGCTTGCAAGGTTGCCGCATTAACTGCGGAAGTGAACTTGGCCATGAAGTGCGACCTGTCCGAAAGTGATATTAAACGCATTGTTAACCTGATCTCAGTTTGGAACAAAGATATGGTTAATCTTCAGACAGTCAATCCTTCAACAATTACGGCCACCGCTCAACGTCATTTAAGTTTATTCAAGTATTTGCCTGTTAAGTTTGCCTACTTTTGCGAGAGTTGCGACGACATCTTTACCTTTGAAGAAGTCTTCAAGAAGCATTCGTTGTCCCACCAACCCGTTCCGTACCGTTGCCCAATATGTCAGAAAGCTTTCAAACACCAGGGATTCTACGATAAGCATGTGCGAACCTTTCATGCCTAAGGAGCAAATTGGGAGAAAGGCTTATAAGTTATAGTTATACTTATTGAAAAAGTGGGAATACTGTTTTAGAGTTTAAATCTTAAAGTTGCTTTACCTTGACTGCCAAGTTATATTAATTATAAAAGTTCATGTACTACATTTTTATATTTTACAAACAGTCTGTCTATTTTGTAGTTGAGTTTCAAATAAAAAGCACCCCACTCTGTTGCTATATGTTTCAGTTCCTTTCATCATTAAGACAACATGAATATTACCCACATATAGCATTATCAAAATGCGAGTTGAACTGACCAGATGGACACCCCATGATCTGGATTCTCTTATCGCCTCGATGGCTCTTGTTTTTGTTTCTCAAGTGACCCCGCCGATTACGAAACCAGCCAGCCACCTTCCCGACTTACAATTATACGTCTTGCCGGGCACATATCCGTTGGGTCCATCGGCCACAATTAATTTGTATCCATTGTCGCCGCGTGTGCGTCGACCGTGGTTCAAGTGGGTGGGCGCCCGGGGACATGCGGTGACCGTACTAATTGTCAGCCAGACGACGACGACGAGGCGGATGAGCAGTGGCAGCGATTGCCCCATCTCTCCAGTGCTTTGTTTCCCGCGTTATCACTTGACTCGATTTGTGGGCTGGACTGCAGCCGCGACCGTTTCAGGCGAGGCTCAAAAACAGACTAATCGAGCCGGAGAGGCGATAGAGCTATCTTTAAGTCGTACGGCGACCCGATGCCGGATGCTTCGGGAACTCTGATTACAAACAGCACTCGTGCAGTGATCTTGACTTTCTTAATCCACTTGCTCCTTGATTAGTTTCTATTTGGTATATATTTCGTGGTATAAATGTTGCCGTACAATTTACAAATAATATTACAATTATATATTTCCATATCATCGGTAACAGTGTTCACTATCGTAGTTCGTAGTTCATAAATTTGTAGGTTGGCTCTGCGCTCACCAAGTAGTTTGATCCGCGAGGATGCGCCCTAGGAAACTCAACGTTGGTCCAGAACAAAGCAAATATACTGATAACTCAAACTGAGACTGATCACACGGTTGGCATTCGATCGGTTAATAGGGAATACATGTGAGAACAATAAAGCATAGGGTCATAAATCACAATTGCAAATTAAGTTAATACTAAAAGGTCAGAATAGGCGTTTCCCGGTGATCCAAGAGGTCTGCAAGGAACAGATCGATGAGTATAAATAGTGGCTTGGAAACCATGCAATTGCTTACCCTTAGCAATGCTCCACCAGGGCAGTGTCACATAGGTGAGGAATGCATTGAGCGGCGTCGACTGCTGTCGCCTGTTCTCCTTCCAGAAGTGAAAGGACTGCGTGAAGCCTCGACTGGTCCACAGGGGATTATAGGCGCCGTCGTCGAGTTCTAAAAGTAGACAAGGCACACAGGATCAGTAAAAGGAAATCACAAATACAAGAAACTAAGTACATGCATTATAGATCAAGGAACCGTCATAATGAACCATAGATTAACCTTTTATTGCCTTTTTGGGCACATCACACCAGTAGTAGATGTTGGTGCCATCGGGAGTTCTGCGCTTGGGCACCAAATGCAGCATCTTGCTGACATGAGCCTGCTTGGCTGTCCTCGGTAGAGTAGCACTGCTCGCCTCCTGGTTGCCATTGGCCACATCCAGCATGGGCGTCAGCTCCGTGGGCGAAATCACCTTGGATACATCGCTCTCTTCGTTCTCATTGTTCGCGTTCGGCTGCAGTGGATGGTTCTCCGGCTCCACAGGCAGGCGGACACACTTCTCGAAGCGGTTCGGTGGCGTCTTGGGTGATTCCACCACCGGCAGCTCCTCACGTCCGCGAACGCTGATCATCATCTTGCTATCGCTCTCACTCAGGATGGCCATTTTGGCGGCTCCAGCTCCTTCCGATTCACTCCCATTCAAGGAGGTGGCATCATCGGCGATCTCGTACTCCTCGGTTTTGGAGGTGTCCAACTTGGGGTTATTATTATTGACTGCTTTGTTTTTGGCTGCTGCACCCGATTTGTCCTTGTCCTTGTCTTTGTCCTTGCCGACCTTAAGCCGCTTGGGCGACATCTTGGCCAGAAAGTTGGTACTTGAGCCGTTGACCTTCTGATTCGACGACTTTTTGTCGTTCTCCTTGTTCTTATCCTTTTCCTTATCTTTGTCCTTCTCGAGATCCTTGGCCTTGCTCGAGCGCAGTCTTGGGGGAATGATCTTCTTCGTTGACACCGGAAGGCTGGTCCTGCGGTCAGCGGCGCTCAGGGAGGCGCTCCTGGTGATGCTCCCGCCCTGCTGCTTGCGCTTGTGCTCCGACGGAAGCCGGAAACTGTTCCTTTTGCCAACCACCAGCTCGCTCTCCACACTCAGGATGCTGGTCTTGGGCTTGGGACGGGTGGACCGCTTGTCGGGCATCTTGGCCAGGCAGGCGGGCGACTCGTTGGACGGATCCTCGCAGCTGGGGCAGTAGATCTCGGACATTTCCGGGGTGTCAGTGTTCTTGGCCGACGCCCAGCGCTTCTTGCACTTCTTGCCACCAAAGCAGTTGCATCCCGTGGATGAGCTTTGTCCGGAGGACCCGTTGTTTTCGCTGGACACGGTGACCTCCACGGCGGCACTCAGTGGGGGCGGAGTGACAGCCGGAACAGCAGCTGCCGCTGGCGCTGAAGCCGGAGTGGAAGTACTCTCACTTGGAGAATCTTGGGGTAACTTTTCTTGGTCACCAGTCGCGAGTTTGTTTGTCTCGCAGTTCGGATTTGGGTGCAGTTTTGCCGCGGAGGCCGAGAAAGCAGGACGTTGCTGATCTACAAGTAGATATAGATCGGTTTTGCGTTTTAAAAGCATATACATCGACACACATGTACAACCGAGGATCGGCCCAAGCAACTTAATCGGTAATTGGCAACAGAGAGCAGTGGAAATAATAACCAGAATAGGGAAACACAAAAAGCTAGGGGATCGATCGGTGGGAGGTAGGGAAATGGATGCCTAATGAACATACAACCAAGCCACCACCACGTAAATTATAATTTCTAAGGGAAGTTGGGAGGAGGATGGTTCTATGGGATGTGGTGAACGATTCCCTCCATGTGTCAAAACAAAAGCCAAACGAAATATAATTTTGGTTGTCCTTAGTGTAATAGTTGTCCTGCTTTCTCGGCAATGTCTGGTGTTCTCTTTATATATATACTCTGGAGTCGTTTTTTAGGGGCACATATAAAGTATATATATAAATTTGATAGTAGGAAGTTTTGTAAAAAGAAAATCAATAGAACCACAACACATTACGAGAAGTAAATCAGGAATATGAACGGAAATGAAAGGAGCAAGCGCAAAAAGCAGAACTAACTACGGTAACCACTACAAGCAATGTATAATTCTAAATATCATGCAACTAAAGGATGCTCAAATGAAGAGGTAACTATGATAAATAATTAGTGGTTCACACTGACCATCGCGCAGATCGCCGGCCTCGATCTCGGACACCTCGCTAGCCAGCGAGTCCAGGCCCTCGTTCTCCGAACGCGCCTTGGCTCCCACACTGGGACTGGTGCCGCTGCCCACCATGTCCTGGTTATTAGAGCCCTTGGTGCGCCAGCCGTAGCGGGAGAAGTTGTTGAGATTGGCACTCGGATCGCTGAGACGTCGCTGGTGTCGGTAAGTGCAGTAGTCGTCGTTCTCCTCCTCCCACTCGTCCCACATGTCGGTGGCGCAGAATCCCGGCTCGCTCGTGGGCGTCTCCACTCCGGAACCCTTTGGCTTGGTCACCGCCATCTCGGCGTGGCCCTTTCCCTGCGGTCCCTTCATCCGGACGAACTCACAGCGCGTTTGGACGCCAGCTCCACTGCTGAAGAGGCCAAAGGACATGCGCTGCGCCACCTTGGAACTCAGACTGGATTGCTAGGGACCCAAAATAACAGAGTTGTATAAGAAAAGGTTGACTCTGGGTGAGACTTCCACTTACCCTGGCATCGTAGACCTTCTTCAAGGCATCGTAGCGTATGGATCCCAAGAAGATCACCCCCTGGACCGCTCCGTCCTTGTCGTTTGCCACCAGCTCCACGCACACCATCTCCCCGTCGCGCACCAGGATGTCGCTGAACACCTCGTCAAAGTTGTCCACCATGAAGCAGATGTGTGGATAAGTGATCTCCTCGCCCTCGCCTTTCGTGTCCATCTTGCGACGACTGGGACTTGCGTACACCCTCTGCGAATGCCTCCTCAGCACCTGAAGCTCCTTGGGCGAGGTCCTGGTACAGATGGCCAGGGTAAGTGTGTAATCGAACTGGTGGATGACCATGTTGAGATACACAGTCTCCTCCCAGTCCACATCGGGATCGCCGATGGGCAGTTTGCGCGAGTCCTTGCGGAATACCTCCACCTCAGTCTGTTTTGGGAATACGTTGCTATAAATTATTAGGTGTGACCGGTTGAATTAGAGGCTCACCTCAAATTTTGGCATGTGGCGCGAGGAGCTCTTCACGTGCTTCTTGCGCACAAAGAAGAGCAAATCATCCGAGTCGATGCTGTGCTCGGGCTCTGTCTGGAAGAGGAAGTGCCGCACGAACAGGTCCGTCCAGTAGGTGGTGCCCTGAAGAACCACAAAGCCGCCATCTAAAAAGGGGAGGAAACAAGGTAGTTTGTTATTATGTATCCAAAATGACTTAGCGTTCGATCTATTATTCAAATATTCAGGTCACCATTTTTCAAAGAAGTTCATATGTAAATTCTTATACTCGATGCTAATCGATTTACAAAGGATTGGATTCCAAAGTTTTGATGGGATGTCAAAAGATAAACGTAGATAGAAGGGATTATCTTTAAGCTATTATTCTACCATGAATCATAACAAATAATTATGAAGCTTCGAAAAAGGTTTCTATCCCGAGCTCAATCCATTTTCTCATTTTTTCCTCCAAGGATGGTGAGAACTGGGGATGCTGATGTTGACCGACAGGTGGAACAGCTGTTTGCGGTTTTCCCATCCTGCCTTTGGGCCCGATAAAAGTAAAAGCCGCTTATGTAAAGGAAAACAAAGAGGTTGGCCAAATGTGGGGCGGAAAGGGCACGCACACAGGCGCACCAGGGCACACACACATCCTTGGGGGTTGCCCCGTGCGACAAATCGATAAAGTGCAAATGTAGACAAATTTTCCCTGCAATTCGGAGGAAAATCGGGTGCTCCGGAGTCCGGATTAGGGCGATACCCACCGTCCTTGAGCAGCTGGCGCATCTCCTTGGTGCGCTGGAAGTTGATGTCCTCCAGGAGCTGCTGCAGCGGCGTCTGGGACCCCTTCAGCAGGGCGGCAGCGGCGCTGGCGAGGGCCATCCTAAAGGGGGATTTCCACGGTTCCGCGCTTCCGGATGACGAATGTCGCTGCGGAATGGTGAGAGGTGGTGATGGTGCCACTATTTCACAACCTCCAAGACATCACGGCGTTTGCGGGGGGTGGTGGTGGGCGGCAGCGTGGGGGGCGCGGCTAGCGCTGTCTATTTTCCAGCATTTGTTGTTGCTCCGCGGTTGTTTTTTCTCTATTTTTGCAATTGGAAAATTTAGTCGGCGGAGAGGAGCAGCTTATCTCCTCGGCACTTGCAAATCGCAACTGAGCAGCAACTCGCGAACACCCTCGCTTTTCCTACCCCCTGTTGGGGGTTGTTTTCTCCCTTATCCGCGGAGTATCCCCCATCTGTATTATCAGGCATCAGCTGTTCCCATCACTTCACAGTTTCTGTGTGCTATTTATATTTAGTTGTCAAATATACTGGAAACACAACTCTTTTGTCTAGTTCTTAAGCTTTTGTTTTTTATAATACCTTTTTTTTTTTTAACAACTAAATAGCTGTAACGTAATAGCTGAAACGTAAGTGTCGGCAAAACGTAAGGGCAACGTAGCTGTGGAAATCTCGGTACTGGAACAACAAAGAACTGCTCACAAGTTCCACTTACAGGGCTGGGTGGTTGTTGTCGATATCGATAGCCGGGACCGGGCCGGACCGGTACATTTAAACGCGATGGTTTTTGGGTGTATCTCCCACCCCTCCTTTATCAGCGTGTCCAAATCAAGGATACCTGATGGGGCCATCAGCTCCAGCTTCTTTTTCCATTTTTTGCCAATCATTCGACATTCAGTTGGAGCTGACCCCCACACACTAAAGTCAAAATGCAGGGCAAACGTGGTAAGGAATTTCAAGGTAGACAAGAATTTTAAAAATCCTGCAAAGTGATCCATAATAAAATGGGAGCCTATCAAATACACAAAAATACGTATATAACATGAAGGTACTTTCACACCTGATAAAATAGATTTGGTATTTAGTCGATAACACTAAGCTTACGATAAGAGCTTACCATTGGTAATCGAATTCGAATTTACTATAACAAATATCAAAAATAAATAATAAAGTTGCTATCTTTACTATAACAAATATCAAAAATAAATGAAAAAGTAGCTATCTTTAATAAAGCCTAATAAAATGATTTATGTCTGTGGACTGGTTCCGAAATGAATCCTAAATCTCTTCTCTTTTTATTTATAATAAGGCAATTTACATCATGTTGCCCCCATATATGAAACGATAGTACGATTTTAAAATAACCATTACTTAATTCAAAAAGAATTTTCAACTACCCAAGCGAGCACTTTTACTGATTACGCACAGCGTCATTCGATTCTTGAAGAGTTTTTATGTCATCCTGCAGCTCCTTCAGCTCGCGGAGCATGGTGCGCGAAAGCTGACCTTCTGGAGTGGCCAAGGGCTCAAATAAAAGCATTCGCAGCGATTCCCTTAGCATGACCTCAACTTGTTGCAATTCCACCTGAAAACGAAAATATATAGAGATGATGCTTAAGGATAATTATGACTTTTTCCACCACTAGATCCCTGGAACTCTGCTCCTTCTCGTTGAAAAGCTTTCTGGTCAGTTCCGCCTGCGTGTTGGCCAGTTCATAGAGAGCGATAGCCTTTAGCCTGGAGACTCCAGGAGCTATCACCTTGAGCACAAGTAGTATCTCCTGGCACAAACGGATCTTCCTCTCGTAGACCTTCTTATTTGGCCGGTGCGTTATGTTCTGAAGGATCTGACGAAGGATAGAGGCAATGTTTTGTTTTATGTCCAGCATTAAGAAATGATTCCCATGCAGAAGGCGGGTCAACTTGGCCAACAGAAGCTCCAGCCTGTATATATCATCCCTGGCATGGAATATTTCCTCCTTAGCCCGCTCCAGCATATTCGATACAAACTCCTGTTTCAGCGAGTGCTCCGGGTTGAGGAGGCACTGCCAGGTTCCCGTCTCCCTCTGACGGACTATGTAGCCCCCCCGGCAGGAGCAGTGGCTGCAGATGAAGCTGCTCATGTGGGTGCCCAGTTCGGTGGGATCCTGGCAACGCGGACAGGTGCAATCGAAGCACTTGCCCTCCCTGAGGATTTGTCGACGCTCCTCGGTGCCCAGGAGTACGTTGGTGTAGCAATTGTAGAGGATCTCCCCGGCGGCTATGAACCGATTGGAGAAGACCTTAATCCGCCGCTCGTCGTCGATGGCGGTCTGCAAGTTGGGCATGCAGCTGTGGGGAAAAAGTGCCGCCCTCCGGTACAATCCTCGTATGGAGCCTCCCGGTTCTGGAGCCCTTATCTCAAAGGCATTGATGTCCAGGATACCCAGTAGACCCTGAACCAGCTCCTCGTCCGCACCGCCACGCAGTTGTTTCAGCACTCCGCCATTCTCCAAAGGAGCAAGGGCATGCTCCTGGTACTTTTTCCAAATATCGGTGCCCTTTCTAGCCGCCAGTTGAGCTTCCATTTGGGTCATCTCCTCGTACAAGGGTTGGGTTTCTTGATGCTCCCTCAGAAGCAAACACTTAAGGGCTGCCTGGACTTCGGTGTGCTCCTTTCCCTGAAGAACCGCCAGTTGGTCCTCTGAAAGCTCCAGCTCAGAAAGCCTCTGGCAATTGCGCACGTCATGATCCTCGCAATCCTCGCACAAGGCCAAAAGACGGCACTTTCTAAGGAGCTTACATAAGAATCAGAGCTGGACGAGGATCTTCTATGGAGTCCACCCACCTGCAAAAGCTCTCGGTGAGCTTGAAGCACTTGGAGCAGCGACGATCGCCCATTTGGGGTAACACCACGATGGGACTCTCCAGCAGCAGGGTCTCGCCAGCCCGAAGATTACACCGGGCAACCACAAACCTTTAGGGAAATAGAGATTACATATTAAATGGGTTATAGTGGGATACACTATCTAGTAGAACCCACCTGCCCAGCATGTCATTCTGCTTTATCTCGCACTTCTTCACAAAATCGTCCGTTACTGCAGCCATTCTCTGATCCCGTTCCCTTCGGCTACCTTTGGCATACTGACAACACAACCAGCGCCATGCTGCAACTTATTTTTAATTGAACGACAATTCTTTATTTATTTCTTGGTCAATGATTCCCCCACCCAGCCGCCAAACGTTGAACCGTGTCGCCAGTGCACGTACACACATTGTAAGAGTGGCCACGACTGAAGGAAGGGAACACTGCTTCCATTCGACTAATCTAATTTATTTTAAATTTAAAAATCCACGCAGCTGCGGATCGCATACAAGACTCATTGAAAAACATTTTGCCTTCCTATCGGCCGTACTTCTTCAGATCGGACTCAATACGCTCCAGCTCCATGGAAATCCGGTCCGAAAGATAGCCTTCCGCTGAGTTTTCCGGCTCGAAGCGAAGTAAGTCCATGGCCTCCTTGGCCACCATACTGGCGGTCCTCAAATGAGCCTTTAAAACAAATCCATTAAATTAAAAAAAAAAAACTCATCAAATTTAAAACGACCCATTTTACTCACCACGTATTCCTTTTTGTCCAGGTCACTCTCCGCAAACTGCAGTTCCACGAGCTCCACCAACGCCAGCAGATACTCAAACAGACCGATGGCATACAGCTTGGAGAGGCCCGGTACCACAGCCCGGCAGACGGGCAGCAGATCGGAACAGAGTTCCACCCGACGGGCTAGGAGCTTCTTGCACGGCTGCTCCATTGAGTTCATCAATGCCGCAGCCCGCAAAATACTGGCAATGTTCTGCTTGATATCGAGCAGCATAAAGTGGTTGGGATGGAGCAGGGGCCCATATTGGGTCAGCAGGGATTCGTAGACCTGCAGCTCACCCCGGGCCTCGACCAATGCTGATCCCACTTCGGCCTGCAGTTCGTGGACCTCAGCGGCGGTAAGAAGGGTATTACAATTCGGGCAGCGCCAGTCACCCAGCCTTCCGTTGGGATCTATCTCACAAACCGAAAATCCGCCGCACTCTCTGCACTTCATGCTACTCATGTGGGTGCCCATCTCAGTGGGATCCAGACAGCGCGAGCAGGTGCACTCCAATCTCCGGGTAAGCCGCAGTTGGTGCTGTCTCTGGCTGGTGCCCATCAGGGGATTGGTGTACGAGTTGTATATAATATCACCCGGCTGCAGGGGAACAGCCGCATACAGCTTCATGTTGAACTGCTCATCCAAAGCGACCACCGTATTGGGAACGCAGTGGTGTGGTAAACCAGCTCCACAAACGAAGACTCCCTTCAAGGTATCACCATCCCTGGCGGTCACCTCAAAGGAATTGCTGTCGATGCGGATGCAGTGGGCGTGCAGCCCATCCGAAGTCAACTGCTGAGCGGGTAGAACACCCACGAGGCCACTCTCCATCAGTGGACGTACCACTAGCTCCTCGTGCTCTTGCCACATTCCTTCTCCGTCGCGGTAATCAGCCAGATTTACAGGTACATCCAAGAGCATTTGGCAATCCGCCCTCGTATCAGGATTCTCCAGCAGAAGGAGCAGCTTCAGCAGTCCACATATGCCATAGTTCTTCACTAGAATGTCCTTGCAGATGGCTTTCCCCGCTCCGCTGGAGAAGAACTGGCATTCGAACTCGTCATGCTGGCTGCAGTCCATGCACAGGGGAAACACCTGGCACCTCCGGCACATCACATAGGATTCCTGGAGGCATTGGGCGCACTTTAGCTGGTGACATTCCCAGTGGGGAGCCACCAGCAGGGGCCGCTCCTCCAAAATCGTGTCTCCCGGTTCGATGTTTATGCCTGCCACCAAGTGCCTGCGAAATAATATTTATAATTAATTTCTATATTTTATTAAGCTCAGCTCAGCTCACCTGCCCAACTTCTCGTTGTGAACCTGCTGAATATTTTCGCCAAATTCTTGCATCGATTACGTGTGTTGTTGCCTGGCGAGAAAACTATTCAGTTAGTGATTGGATTTTGCCAACGGCTTGTGGTTCTTTTACTCACCCAAAACGCACTGAGCAATTATAAATATACTCTGCGGTGTTGCTGGTCGAGGAATTTCCCTCTTTTTCAGGAGCCCTGTCGTTTTGCTAAGTACTTTCGCTAATTGCGTGCGTAGCTCGAACGAGATGCTGCTTTATTTATAGACTCAGTCGTTTGGAGGAGGTGATGCCGGACTAACGTGTCTGATCGGTTTTTCACTTAGCTCTTCCCTGAGGGAAAACACCTATACACATAAGTCTTCTCCGATATTCCTCTCAATAACTATATTGTTTATTGTTCTTTATAAATGTATCAAACATTGTGTATTTAGCTGATATTTTTGTTTAAGTCGATAATATGCATATGTATAGGTATTTAATTAGTTTTACGAGGAGACATTGTTAGGCTTAATTTAAAGTGTTATCGGTTCTTGTGGAATACATAATATTTTAAGAAACAAATGAAGCTACATTAACAGTAGTAAAAGGCATGCTCTAGAAAGGCTACTCGTAAAACATAGACGCCGCCAATTCAATTGGTCGAATGCGTTTGTGGGGAAAACAAGAACAAATTGTATTTTATACAAAAAAAATTAAACAAGTTTCCTATTCCTCATCCTCATTGCTGTTTACTCTCATGGCTTCCGCTGTCTGAACCTGGCCGCTGGCGCTGGGCGAAGCCGTGGGAACCGGCGTGGGCGTTGGCGTCAGCGAACTGTTGGAAATGGCGTCAATATCATCGTCAAACTCTACATCCTCAGCATGCATCAGCTTCGTAAGATCGAACGGAGTTTCCTGTGGACAGCAGAAAACGTTAACATCTAGATTTTCCTTGAAGTTTAGCTGCATCCTTACCTTTACTTCATCAACTCGCTGTCGATCATGCAGCGCACTTAAAAGCTCGCGAAGGTGTTGATTCTCTTTACGCAACCGCTCTCTTTCCATATCGCGTTCGTTAATTTTTGGCTATCATAAGGTAAATAATATAAAAAGGAATTTTCTTCACTTTAAAATTAGTTAAACCCACCAATAGCATGGAAATCTGCTCATTCAGTACTGTTACAATGCTGCTGAGGGCATGGCAGGGCACACTCGGCTCCAGCACACTGGCATGCTGGATGCGATTCGGCCCACAGGTGCTGCCCGATCCTCCGGTTAACTTTTCCGTTTCTTTCGGCGCTTCAGTTGGTGATGTCTGTGTCGAGCTATCGACTCTTGATACCGTGACTTGTTCGATCTGTAGAATAACATTGATTAAAATATGATATGCTAAGGAGTAACAAAAGTCATTTTTGTATTTACGGAAACATCGACGTCCTCTTTGTGCTCGGACTCGGGTTTTTCCACAGCTTCAGTAGTGTCCACCTCGCTGATCTGGCTGGGTATTCCATCTACATGTGCTGTTGCCGAGGTCTCGTTATCAGCGGTCGTCAAATCAGCCTTTTCCTTAGTATTGTCCGCTTCCACATTCTGCTTTTCTTGGTTACATGATTCACTTGTAGTAGGTAGCTTATCTGAGAGCTCGGCTTTTACTTCCTTCTGTGCCTGTGCCAGTTTGTTGTCCGTCGACACCGTCTCGGTTTGTTCCTTCTCGACCGGCAGACCCTCAGGTACATCACCAGTGCTTTGGCGTTTCGTGGACTCAATAGCAACAGATTGTGAAGTCTGCGGCTCAGCTTTGAACGGAGCCAGTGGCGTTGTGGGCCTCTCATGTGGCTTGGACGGAATCGCTGGCAAGCGCAGTTCGTCGATTTCACAGTATCCGTCATCGTCTTCGTGTATGGCAACTTCGTCAAGATCAAGGGTTTGTAGTTTGGGCATCAGCCGCGATGGCGGTATCTGGGCCTGAGCCTGGGCATGTTGCCTGTTGGGCGGCGGCAGCGGTGGCGGCGACGAGGAGAACGATGAGGATGGAGCCACCTTTTTGCGCAGCTTCTCCTTCTCGTGACAGTGGCCGCAGACGACAGTGGATACCGCCGAGACCTCCTGCTCGGGCGTCACGTGCATGTATTCGTTCAGCATCTTGGTCAGGGTTTGAATCTGATCGTAGGCAGCTAGGGCAATGTCTGCACTGTCTTTCGGCGCCTCTGGCATCATGGCAATGTCAACAATCTGGTCGTAGTGTTCCACTGGCAAACGGAAGATATCACAAATGATTTTCTGCTTCTCGAGCAAATCACTCCTGATGGAGGCGTCCAAGCGGCGAAGCTTCTCCCCCGGAGTCAACACCGGTTCCGCAGTGTGGGCCGGACTGATGCTGACATGGATGGCCGTGGGATCCACCAAGGGGCTCTGCATCAACAGGGTGCGCGTGTTGTTCGAATTGTTCGAGCAAACAATGCTGGCACTGTCGCGTTTGGAGTTACCTCCCACCATGCCATACGTGGAGTTCCTTTCCTCCCCGGTTGATCCTGGCCTGGTCGATTCCCTGGTCGAATGGGAGTGGCGCAGAGTGACGTCGCTGGCTTCTGTACCATTCGCGGAATACTTGTGGTTGGGCTCCCCAGTGCTTCTTATGGACATGGAGCGACTAACTTCATTCTGGCTCGATCGCTGCACCTTCGGTGTGTTTACGTAATCCGCATCAGATTCATTTGTTCCCACATCCCGTGGAGGATCTCGCAGCTGTACTCCCGTAGTGGTGCTAGTGTTGCTGTTGCTGGTCGCTGGAGCCGGTGTAACCGTGGCTATCGGCAGCATTGGCGCCAAGGGTGTGGTGGTCAACGTGGCTGTCGCCGCCATTGGCTGTGCGCAATCGGTGGTCAGCTCCAACGACTCCTTGGTGCTGGAATGCGGAATAGCGGTGAGGGCTGGGTCGCTGGTACTTGTGTCATGGCTGTTGGAGGCGTTCTTCGAACGATTCTTCGACTGACGAGCAGCAGCATCCGAGATGTGCTTAAACCATCTGTGGGAAATAATTTAAAATAAATAACAATAGAGTGGGGTTCAGAATGCCTTGATTACTCACGTCTTGCATTCCGAGCTGCTAGGCGCACGTAGCTCCAACATTTGTGATGTCTTCATCTTGATGAGGAAAAAGGAATTCTTGTCTGCCGCCTCCTGCCGCACCAATGTCTCCGCATCTATGCTCATGATGGGACTGACTGGCTTGTTGTTCAACGTCAGCGGGATGTGCAGGTTCTTAAGATAATATTTATCATCCTATGGAGAGAAAACCGCTAATTAACTACATTACTTTTTTACTTTTGAGGGTGTAATCTTGCCTGCTTGGTCAGCAAAACAATCATGTTCTCAAACAGCAAGCCATGCAGCTGAAGGCTGGGATTTTTCTTGACCGTCAGGTTGCCGTCATGGATGAGGTGATGTTGGGTCAGGTCCAATTTCTTAAACTCCTCCTTGTCATAGGAGGATTTGTCTAATTTACGCTGAATGTTTTGTAGTCTGTTTGAATAAGACGAGTTAAATAATGGTTATACAAAACACATTTGCATAATACATACTTGTGAGCATCCTCGGCTGTCTTCACTGCCTGGTTGACCTCGACCAGAATTCTTTTCGAGGATTCCACGGCTCGTTGGATGGCCTCCGCTTCGGTGGTGTTCTCTGGCAGCAGGCGTACCGTCACCTTGTACAGGTTCTCAAACAGCAGCGGATACTTGGTGAGGCGCTGCAGCACGGTGGGCAGCAAGTCCTTCAGTTCAAGGCGGCGACATGCTTTGTGCGACTCCGACTTCCTCAACAGCTTTTGCAGCGACTCATCCTTGTTGCGCTTCTCCTTGAGGGCCTCCAGGGCAATCTGCTGCCGGGCACAGAACTGCGCCGCATACTCGCAAAGAACCACTCCGGACTGACCGTCGAACATGTCGGCGAGCAGATCTCCAATGGTGTTGACCACATGGTTGTGCTCAATGCGTCGTTGCTTTAGACTCTGCTCGAAGGCGCCATGGATCTCGCGAAGCGACAGCAGTGCGGGCGGGAACAGCAACAGCAGGTGATCCTGAGACAGCAATCCACTCTCGTAGAGGGGCAGGAAGAACAGGCGATCTAGCAGCTTGAGGGTGCGCACATGGTTGCGTTCAGTTTGATAGATTTCTTAAAGGGAACACAAAGAAATCAATGTATTAAAGCACATTTACAGTTGTAAAGTTTACACACCATTGATAATCTCCTGACGCTTCTTTTCGGCGTCCGTCAAGGCTGCCAGCATCTCGGCGGCCACCATGGAACTCCAGTCGGCCTCGTTAACATCGTCCTCATCCTCGCTCTCCAGGTTCCATTGCTTGGGCAGCGGGTGGCCGGCATTCCAGAAAGTCGAGTTGCTAGCTGCGTTGCTTCCCCCGCCTCCGGCCAAACCCGCTTGAAAGGAATCCTGCTGACAGTATTGCTGGGCATGCTGCTGGATGAGCAGGTGCGGATGCTGGCTTTGGTTCAATCCAACAGACGGTGCCTGGACGCCACCGGCTGCTCCGGTCGCAGCAAAGTGCTCCATCGAAGTGCTGGGACTCTCGCTGCCGCCAGCTGAAGAGAGACTAGAATTGGAACTCGCCACATAGTTGGCGTTCGAAAGACCCAAGTCCAGTTGCTCATCACTGAGTTGAAAGATAAGAATGGTAAACATAATTCAATTTTGTTTGTTGTTGGATTACAATGGAAAATATTGTATACATCAGAAAGGGGAAACATGGTTTACAACTAAATATATCCCTGGCCAATCAAAAAGTGTTCGATCGTTTTAGTGGAATATCCTAGCTTAACGGATATATTAATAATATTTCTATATCAAACTCAAAATCTGGGGGACATTATAATGATGATAAAGATAATAATCTTTAAGTTTAAAATAGAACTCCAAAAAAATTAATTCTTAAAAATCTGGTGTACATTAGGAATCGGTTCCGATTTGATAAATGACCTTAGTTTGAATACTTTCTGTGTTAACAAGCACGTACAGCCTTCACAAATGGGAACTCAAGTAAGCCCTTACTCACTTAAAACTATTAAAATTTAGAGTCGTCTTGAAACTTTTGCTACGATTAAAACGGATATTTCTTTCCATTATCACTGCTCCGACTGATTAATTTGTAATATTTGAAGGCGATTTAATGCCGGACTGGTGAGTCAATTCCAACGCGAGAAATGCCACTGAAAGGGCAGCCAGGCTGGCAGGTGTTG